GCTCCATAAAAAATAAATATAGGAGGCACATTGCCACCAGGAGTGTCTTTATAGTCAGTTGGGATATAAGGCGAGTGCACAGAGAGACAGCTGTGATATAAGGCAGAATATGGAAAGTGCCCTCTTGGTACCATAAAGTGCTCTAATGTCCAAAGGTGAGAGAAGTCACATTTGGCTGAGAGGACAGGAAATGCTGTAAAGAGGTGACACTGGAGAAGCATTGTGAAGGATGAGAGTTGACAGGCAAAATGTAAGGCAGAGCACTTGGGGACATTTAGAGCATCAGTATGGGTAACACCTGTAATGGACTGAAACACGTCAAGCCTGATTTAGCCCGTGAGTTCATAGTGATGATATAAAACAAAAATCCTAATTGGTAACTTCTGGATGGTGCTAGAAAGCGAACTCGTTATCTTGAAGTTGGATAAAGGAAAAGGTGTGAGCGTTGATCCTGGCTTCCGTCATCAGACTATGTCACTGGATAAATAATTCTGACAAAGAGAAGTGTCTCTTCATAGACATACTCCAACTAATAAATGTGGGACCAAGGTTCGGATTCGAATATCCCCATCTTGCCACCTCAAATTAATGGGTCTAGGGCAACGATCGTTAGTGACTGCTAATGTCACAAAAAGGCAAGAGTTAACTTTATGCCTCGTGGTGAAATTGCACAGCATCATTTATGGAAACCAGTCGAACAAGAATCTGGTCAAGCTTCTAGATTTCACTGTCAGTTTACAGGAAATACAGAAGACAAAAGAACATGTTAAATTACACCATGGAGATGCAAACAGCAAGTCTAGACTGAGCGAACTCTACAGGCAAATGACCTGGTCTCCTAGACAAGTTAATAACCAACATAAATGGAGAACTTGCAGATTCAGAGAGATATGTCAGCCGATTGCAGTGTATGGGCTAACCAAAGAAAATGAAAAAGAAAAAAAAATCTTTGAAATAATTGGGGAAGTTAAAGTCCTGACTAGATATTTGGTGATATTATGAACTGATCGCTACTTTTGTTTAGATGTGATGAAGTTATTGAGATTACATTTCTTAAAAGAGCAGAGTTACATACTAAGATAAATAGAGACAAAATTATTTGCTGAGATGCTTCAGAGTACCCAGGGAGAGGATGAGTGGAGCACAACTCCAGAGGAACCAAAGTTGTCTTCAGAGGCATTTGTTAAAACTGGGTGATGAGCATGCAGGCTTTCATGATGCTGTTCTCTCTACTTTGGGAAATGTTTGAAATTGTCCCATCCTAAAACATTCTGAAATTAATTTTTTAAAGTTGTTAGACAAATAAAAGTACAAATAAAAATTTTAATGTAAACTTTCAGGTGATGCTGGTTGATAAGACCTTGAGAACCAGTGTTTTACCAACATTGTAAAAATCTTGAATTATCTTGGACTTGCAGGAAGTTTCATTAATGCTGCAGAAAAGCTTATTTCATCTGCTGTGTTTGAGTGGTGATGATGGATGTATCCTCGTCTCCTTTATTTGAAACAGAAACCCAATTTTAAGTGGAAAAAGAGGGTAGAGAGAGGGCAGTCCACCATTCGTTTGTTACTCCAGGAAAGCAAAATCCACTTTCCTTAATGTCCAGGTGTTAAAAGTCAATGGTTATGTAGACTGCGAATGCATCTGAGTCAGAGACATGACTTAACAACTCACAGGAAACAGCAAATGAGACTAAAAGCTGTTCATCGTCTCCAGTTAAGTAAATTACCCATTGATTTTAGAATACCTCTGTCCAAAAAATGCTTTTTAATCTACTGAATTCTTTTTTTTTACATTTTTATTGGAATATAATTGCTTTACAGTGGTGTGTTAGTTTCTGCTTTATAACAAAGTGAATCAGTTATACATATGTCCCCATATCTCTTCCCTCTTTGCATCCCCCTCCCTCCCACCCTCCCTATCCCACCCCTCTAGGTGGTCACAAAGCACCGAGCTGATCTTCCTGTGCTATGCGACTGCTTCGCACTAGCTTCTGCTGAATTCTTGACTCATTATAGCTGTTATAAACATACCCAATGAAAGTAAGGTGCCTAGATTTGATGACTTAATGAACATCCTATCTTTGGGACCCGAATATTTAACATAAATTCTCTAAAAGGCCCAGTGACGGTTGAGCTTTAGTCATATTTTAGATGTTACTACCTAAAGATGCACGCAATGTCAACATGTAGAAATAATTGACTTAAAAAGTTAGATAATGCCCTAGAAAAAAATTACCTGAGTAAGAAGAATCAGGAATCTGGGGGAGTTGGGAGTGATTGCAGAGGGGATCCTGTCTGGGGCTGCAGAATAGTCCCATTTGGTGTCCTGTGCCAACTCCATCCATCGCCAGGGCCTTTCTCATCACGTGTGCGGTAGGGCTCTGAAGCCGCATTTGGGCTGCACGGGGGAGTGAGCTGTGGTCATTAGTGATGTTGGCCATGAGCACAGGTGCCCAGTTACAGCCTCAAGCCCGTGATCACCTGGCTCCATGGAGTCATATATCCTCACTCAAGGATGAGAAGGTGAAGGCCCACATAACGTGAGAGACCTTTCCAGCGTCATCCAGCTGGCTGGCGGCCGTGGTGACGTTTGACAGATAGGAATTTCATTGTTTACATATAACCATCTATAGCGGATTCTAGACAACCCATCTTAGTTCTTAGGGCCAAAACAAAACAAACAGAAACAAACCCAAAAACCCTTCAGAGTGAAGAATGGACCACTATGTCATTGTCTTAAGGACTGTTTATAGTGTTCAAATATGTTTAAAATAGTAAGAAAAAATCTGGTCTGTTCAAGAGAGAGCTGTGGTTCATTAATTAGCAATCAAATGGTGAGAAGCCAGAAAATTAAGAACCAGTTAGTACAGTGGTCCGTGCTTGAGCTAATCACTCCACCTGTTAGACAAAAGGAAGAAGACAGCAGCCAGAAGACAGCTAATAAAACAATGCCCAAGGCCGCCTGCAGCATGACCAGATTAATTCCTCCACTGAGGGCCTGGCTGTGGTCTGCTGCTGGCTCAGAGGATGTAGGAGGCTCTGTAGAGGAAGGTTTATTGTATTTGGTTTGTTTTGGTTTGTTTTTACTCATTGAGAAAGTACTTGGCCAGACGCTGGTATGTATTTGTGTGTGTGTGTGTGTGTGTGTGTGTGTGTGTGTTGTGTTGTAGTTAAAGCAGTTAGACAGTAAGCAGATAATTGATACCTGAAGAAAGAGCAGGACATATTAAGACTAAGGATGCTTATTGGTACCACAAGGAGCTGTATATGTGCTCCTACCACAGAAATGCCTAGTGAGTTCTGTATTACGTATTCTGCCATTTATCAATCACGTAGGCTGATAATATCAATGGCTGACGTTTGTGGGATGCTTGACATGTTATCACTGGACCAAGTTGGAATACTTTGTTTCATTTTAATATCAACCATTACAAAGAAGTAGATGGTATCATAACCGTTGTACAGAGGGAAAGCTTCGAGGTCCGCACAGCTGCAAGGGACATAAGGAAGACTCAAAGCCAGGTTTACCTGTTAAAGCCACCGTCTAGGCAGCACTAAGACTGCCTCTCCCATGTAACTCCTCTGGACCTCTGTGTTTTTATCTCTAAACTGGACATCATACCAATGGAAGCATCAGAAGAACCAGGTTTTTTTGGTGCAAACTTTATAATTTGTTAAGCGTTATTCAGAAGCAATATGCTGTTATTTACAAATAAAGGATTTAAACCAGCGAGCAGCATTTCATTGTCATACCATTTATTTATATCCATTGAACAATGTTACACAGTTTAGATAACATGTAATTTATTTTCATACATTATTAAACTTTTTCAAATACAACATTGATTATTCAGCTGGTTACAATTCAGTCTTCAGTTTTCTATCCTACATTTATCTTTTCTCCTAAATAGTCATGCTTGAGGGGACTAAGTAATTTCCAGTATATTTGCGGTTGCACAGTAATACATACCACTTACACATCTTCTGGATACTTACTCTTTGGTATGCCCATTGTTTATCAATTTTCTTATTTTTCTCTTACTACATTAAATCTTAAAGACAAATACACTTAAGGTACGAGATGTGAAATGTTGGTACTGCACAAACAAAATGTACTTTAGCTTAATTGCTTCCAGTTAATCCATCTCAGACTCCAAGGCCAAGTTTAAAAGACCTTTGATGAAAATATGATACTGTATATCACCATAAATTAAGCTGATGGATTTTTTTCCCCGGATGACTGCCTTTTTTCTTTCTCCAGTTGACTGCTTTATGGCCAAAAATACAGCACATATGTCTACATCTTACATTTATAAATGGTAATTTAAATCTTTAAACTTAATGAACATGTTTGTTATGTTTAATAGAAAGGATTTTCTCTAAAAAAAAAAATTCAGAGAAAGTTCAACTCTGTGATACAAAATTGAAATTTGTGACTGTAAACAAAAACTAATAAAGTTTAACGGGCTTCAGAAAGTGATCCATAGCTAGAATTTCTCAGTAAGGACTGGGATAGAAAGTTTGAAGGGGACTTCTGCCTAAGACAAGGAATGGGGTTAATTCTTCTCAGGCTCAGAACCTGATCACGTGGGGGAGCGAGCATGGGTATTCTGAAACACAGCTGTGGTTGGCCCTTTAATGCTCTCACCGTCAGGATTTTTGTGTTTCACAATATATTTGAGGCTTCAAGCACCACTTCATTTCCCCAACTACTTCCGTTTCGAAATTGTCCGCAGGTCGCCTGTGCTTACTCACTGACAGGAGTTATTTTTTTATTTATTTGCTTGTTCTGTAGGAGCTGCCTCTTGTAGGATTAGGTCCACTTTATTGAGCCTTTTTTCTAGTTAAAAAGGAGATGGTAAGGTGATCAAACCTGCTTGTTATTTACTGAACAGTTACAATGAGCAATATTTTAAGTTTTACCCATATTTGTTCGTGGCAATTGAGAGAACTTTTTTGGTGTGTGTTGACTTGTTTTTCTGTTTTGTTCTCCACAGAAACGCTCCAGAGGCCAAGTGCTGTTTGATAAAGTATGTGAACATCTGAATTTGCTAGAAAAAGACTATTTTGGGCTTACATATCGAGATGCTGAAAGCCAGAAGGTGAGTGGTTGAAAGCAATACAAAGTATTGCGGCTTCAACTGCGCTTCACTGCAAGAAAGTGAACTGAAACTGAATTGGTAAATCGTTTTCTCCACCTCCCCTCGTACTCCCACGCCTTCACCTTCATCATCCAAGGCCCTAAATGCTGTTAATCACCTTACTTCTTCATGAAGGAAATTATTGACAACTTCCTTTAATCTTGAGTCTTTTGGAAACAGTCAGTCAGTGTTTCTGCTTTTCATGCTTGAGTTCTTTATGGTTCCAGAAAAGCATTTTATATGGTGCTTTGGGGGGATGATATATTTCCATGGATTTGAGCCAATGGGAATCACATACATTGATAATTATACAGAAAACATGTTCACTGGATGCCATCTTATTAATTCATCTTACTACACTTTCATATTCTTGCTGAATCACAATGTGAGATGAATCATGTACAGACCTGATGTACAAGGCAAGCAGTTAATGTATTCAGTCCACGTTTAATGATACACGTAAAACCTCTGTAGACTCTTGTACCTGCTTCAGGCCTTTATCTCACTTATTCCCCCCAACTGCCTGAAAGATAAGGAGGAAGAAATTGTTTCCTTAATGCTGGAAACTGAGCCACAGCAGTTGTGCTCATTAAATGTCACTTGTTCTGTTGTCGTTCGTTAGTGAATCATACTTTATCTTTACTGAATTTTGTGGATGATGTCTAACTTCATTATTAAACACCTGAGTGTTCTGATGAGGGAAATCGTAAGTGTCAAGTGTTCGTTTGTTAGGAAAGCATTCTAAGAAGGTGCCTTAAAATCTATAATCACAGAAGTTGCTGCATGGGACTGAACGGCTAGGACATCAGTGGTCAAGTTACATGCAGAGTCAACTCTCTGTGTTCTTGGGCTCTGCATCTGCAGATTCAACCAACAGCAGATCAAAAATATTTTTTTTTAATTCCAGAAAGTTCCAAAAAGCAAAATTTGAATTTGCCAGTGCACCAGCAAGTATTTACATAGCATGTCCATTGAATTAGGTATTATAAATAATCTAGAAATGATTTCAAGTATATGGGGGCGTTGCATAGGTTATATACAAATACTGTGCCTTTTTATATAAGGGACTTGAGCATCCTCAGATTTTGGTGTTACCTGGGGTTCTGGAACCAATCCCCTGAGGTTACCGAAAGATGACTGTATCTTTAGCTCATGCTTGTAACTTGTTTGAACATAGAATCCACCATTTTTTCTCCTCTGTTTCTGTGCTAGCTTGAATTGCTGAAGGCACTTGTTGTAAAAGAAAAGAACTTTGTCAAGCCTGAATTGTGTGCACACACATCTTCTCATTAGACCAGAGCCTGGGCCCTCGCAGGACTAGCGAAGGGGCACCAGATGTAGGGGAAGGACCCAGCCTGGGGAGTCTCCCGGCAGCCACTCCTTCTCAAATACGTTTAGTTCATCTCTACCCAGTCAACACTAAGTCATCTCCATTCTTCTCTGATTCATATTCAGACTCTCACTTCTTTTTCAGAATTGGTTGGACCCTGCTAAGGAAATTAAAAAACAGATTCGAAGTAAGTTCTTTTGGATTATTATGTGTAGAAATAGGAAGATTTTCAAAGAGTGGGGTTATCTGAAATGGTAGCTCATATCCACATGGCTGGTGTGAATACGGTATTTTGAAAAACAGATTAAGATCTCAGATTTTATCTTTGGCAGGTTGGTCTAGCTCAGATACCCATTAGTAATTATCGCGACCCGGGAATAAAATGACATGACACTTGACCTATTCCCTTGCCTGTTCAGAGATGTGAGATATGATTTAATCAAGTGATGACCCCATTGACAATCATCTAAAAGTTTCAAGCTTAATTATTAATGTTGTATTAAGCCTAACTGCCACCAAAGTATGCAAGGCAAGCAGTAAAAGTAATAGTCATTTAATAGCTTAGAAATGGGGTAACAAGTCAGACTGAAGTTTACTCTCTGATGACATCTTCTTTTCTTAGCCCTAAAGGCAATTTAAGAAATGGACATTTCCTAGCGCACGAATCAATTACATGAGCCACTCAGAAAATTTAAATACAGGTAGCTAATAAGTATTAGAAAAGGTGCTAAGTCTTAGTAATAATTAAATGCAAATTAAAATGTGACATTTTTCACCTATTCAGATTAGCAAAGATTTTAAAAGTTTAATGATGCCCTACACTGGCAATTCTGTACACAGTTGGTAGAAATATAACCCTTTAAGAAGGCACTTTGTGTCAGATTTTATTAAAATTTAAAATGTGCTTATTCTTTGACCCCTGATTTTACTTGTAGAAATGTATCCAGTGTCTGCTTAAGAGAGGAGTGTGTACATATGTGTCCATGTAGGAAAGTTCATTATCATACCATTGGCAATAGAAGAAGACTCAAAGCAACTTAAATATCCATTTATAAAGAAATGATAAAATCGATCATGAAATAGCCATACCTTGAAATACTAGGTAGCTGTTAAATAGAATGAGGTAGAATAAATATGTTTTAGCTCTCATTAGTGAGACCCTAGAGAAATAATTCATATTTGTTTAAAATGAGTTATGCATATATAGGTATGTGGAAATACCTATACCTCCAGAAGTGGCACTGCAGGGTAGGGGGTTGAGAAAGAGGAATTTTTTCATTTTTATTTTTAAGCCTTTTCTGTAGCTGTTGCTTTTTACTATGGATAAATGGTAAAACATGGATATACTTTATAATTTCAACTAGTTAATTTTTTTCAAGCAATTCATTTTTTATCGATAAAATCTAGCTTAATTTTCCAGAACAACTGATTCTGTTTGAAGATTAAATTTAAGACCAATTTATTAATAAGAACAGCACTCCCATCAAAGTTACTATTAAAAGAGAGAGCAAATCTTTCTAGTGCCTTTGAATGTTCTGAGGTCTCAAAATACCCTACATGCTAATAAAAAGTAATTAGTGGCGAGCAGTTTGAAATGGCTTAATAGTAGATAATATCTCAAAAGAAGCAAAAAAATCACTATGCTTCTAGATACTAGAGAGTCTGATGATTCTTTATACAACGAAAACATCTTTACCATATTTTTGAGAGGAATTTGGTGTGGTCACTAATCAGCAACTTGATAGTGAAGTAGTTTGATAGAACTAAATGGGGATTAAAACCAGGGACAGCTACAGTTGTGATAAGAAGGTGAAAATTTCAGAGTCCTAGTAAAAACTTTAAGATGATGAGCATGTTCTAAGGATCTTTTTATGGAGTTATTAAAAGCAGATGGGCTGAATATCTTAACATTTCATGTGCTTTAAGTCCTCTATATTCACCTAATTAATAAAACGCTGTTTCGTACTTGGTTGATTTTATAATTACAGAGCACTTTGAAAATATATTACATGTTCAAGGATAAGTCATTATACTGTTACAAGAAAGGCTGTAAAAACAGTTAATTTTCTTTTCTGCTGTTAATGGAATTCTTTTTTTCCTTCATTTCCCATTTATACTGTCTCCGACCTTCCTTTCTAAGAGATGAAGTTTAGGGGACAACTGGAACATGAGATTTAAAGGATATTTTCCTCATGTAGATTAGGCAGTGTTTGTGACAGCAACATAAAACCAAGTGACAATCATGCAGATAAAGGAGGAGACAAGAAAAAATTGGAAATGTTTAGGAATGGAATTTGGTGTTTTTATCTATATTCCTTATTGTTTCCCATGCACAAAATGCCTTCTTTCCACAAAAGGGACATTCTATCAAGGCAGAAAAGTATTATCAGAGCTAATGTAATTATTGTACAATCACCTCCTCTTTCTGAACGTAAATATCAACAGTAAAAGGATGTTTCCATTATTTTTATGCTGTAGGTCCACAGTAGGTCTCTAGAATGAGATCTTCAAGAGAATGGCAAATGGCAATCAAGCTGAAAAAGATTTTAAGTTATGAATTTATGAGGAATAGAAAATCCTGAGCCTGAAGAGTTTTTTCTTATGAAAAAAATTCTTATTCCAGTCATCTTTTATGCCTAGCAGATCTAAAATTTCTAAATATATTCTGATATAGAGTATATTTATGATATAGTAACTTCATGATATAGAATATACGATATATAGTGATTTATGCTATAACTGTAGTATATTTAGAAATTTTAAGATTTGGCAGGCATAGAAGACTAAAATTAGAATTTTTTCATAAGAATGAATTCTCTTCAGTTTCACAGTTTTCTGATTATCATAAATTTGGAATTTAAAATCCTATATCAGCATTATAGATGTCATTTTAATGCATTCAAGCTCTTGCATTTCCGTCCCTAACCAGAGCCGTCATCTGATCAGACACAGGCTCACAAACCTATTTATGGCATAACTATAGCCTCCCAGTGATATGTTTCCACCGGATTCTTTACAAGGATATGTATTTCCGCTTTAATCTGCCTCTCTCATTAATTTCAAATGTTACACCTCATTTCACTGGATTTTTTTTTTCCTTGATTGTGGTGTAGATTGTGTTTTCCATAAACTTTCCCACCGTTTCAAAATAATGTCCTGCAAAACCTCATATTTGATTGGGTTATAACCTTAGGAAAGTAGATTCCTTGGGATTAGTGATTTTCAAAGTACGGTCAAGTGTATTAGAACCATTAGGGTGTTTATTAAAACCACAAGTTCATGGGCCATAATGCACATCTCTGGAATAAAAACCTCTGAGTAGAGCCTAGGGATTGGCGTTTTTAACAAGCCCCTCCGATGCTTCTTAGGCCCACGATCATTTGAAAGTCACTTTCCTGTAATGAGGATTTTTGCATTGAAATATCTTTCTTCTATTTTTATTCCCTCTTAGTTTCCAACTTCGAGTGTTTACCCTGAATTTATTATGAGTTTAATTGCATTGCTAAACGAGTCATTGGATTCACTTTGAAGTGGATAAAAATTATAAAAGAGCAATAAATCCATTTCCCATAACGAATCCATTAGCTTTCATTCCAGTTGCTTGCGGGGAAACCAGTTCTCATTATGAACCTCACGGCTGGCAAGCATTCCATTTTAGCAGGAGGTGAATAGGAATCAATAGGAAAGTAAAACCAAATCAGACTTGTTAATTTTAGAATAACAAGAGGACGTTTTTGAGAACAGTGGGAAGAATAATCGCTAGAAATAGGTTTGATTGCCAGATATTTTATGGCTTGTAATTCTTACAGCCCACGTTTTGGGAATATTTTCTTAGTGGTTTAGAAATGACACAAAACACCCAGTAATACCCAGTCCCTATACCAAGTCCTTTATAAGGCAACTCAAATGGTGTTCCTGCCAGGTGGACCTCTAAGTGTAAGATGAATAGCGGTGTGCAGAGTAAACCAGAATTAGTGAACGGACTATGCCATGGATGACAGAAATACAGGTGACCTCTGCAGCTAAGTATTTGCTACTCAAGCAAGAGACCAGCTCAAAGGAAGGAGCCGGGAGGTACTTAGGATGTTGTCCCTTTCTTGTGAATGTTTGGGAAGGACTTGGGGAGAGAATGGAGCTTCCAGGAGTCACTGAATGGGAGAAGGGGGTGTTTGGAAGTCTTAGGAGGGCATTTGAAGCATGAGGGCTGGACCACGAGGTCATGAATCACAGAGCAAAAGGAAGACCACGGCTCGGAGGAAAGGCCTCTAGCACCGAAGCTGGGAGACCAGGAGGGTCCTCCAAGCCGCCGTTCAGAGCGAGCAGGGCCTGGGCCCTTGGAGTGTGCTTACTGGGTGGAGGGAAGAAATGGAAACAGTTCCCGGCGAAGGAGCCCCCAGGCTTCAGTAATGTACCGCATTTATTAAAAGGCCAGACAGAGAGACCAAGGTGAAAATAAGTGACAGGGGTGATCACAGAGAGAGTAAATGTCGAAAAGAAGAAAAGGTGGGTTTTATTCTCATTTACGGTGATAAACATGGTTAGGTATACACAACTAGAGAATGCATGGATAAAACGGAGCACTCAGGAAGGCTTGTAATGTCTCACGTTTACATATGGACGGTCTGGGGAGCAGGTGCCTATGAGCTGGCGTCTGGGTGACCCCCTTCCCCTCTGGAGAGGCCGTAGGAGATGCCACAGGAGGAGGGGCGGCCGCGTGCAGTGAGGACCGTCCTGATCAGGGGCTGAGGTGGAGGGCTGGGTTTGGTAATGCACAGTACATACCCCCACTGTCTCTTCCATCAGAAATTTCCCCAAGTAAGAAAAGAACTTTCCGAATGGCCCACAGAGCAGCTCATCTCTTAATATGACAGCAAACCTTTCCCATAAAATAAATACATCCTTGACGTGTATTACTATGGGATCTGACCTGTCATAACAAAGCAGAAAGGACAAAGGAAATGGGATTCTGTCTGTAATGTTGGTATGTGAGCTCTCCAGAACTTCAGAGAATAGGTCCGGTGAGCCCTAGACTCGTCTGATTGAGGCTTATCTGTCTCGTTTACTTTTTTTCCCTCTTCCCAAGGCCTTTGTCCCTGAGAAAGGGAGGAAGTTTAGTCAATTTCCTTGCTAGTTAGAAACCCCAGCAAAGGATTTGATGGGGCAGAAGATTAGAAGCTGGAGGAAGTTTCAGAGTTACCTGTGAATTTCACTGAAAGGAGACTTCCCTGTTTTCCATTGATGATTAAAAGTTGCCTGGGTGTTAGTGACTGGGGTTAGGGCAGTTCTAGCCACCGCTTAGTATAATAAGTACAAAGGGATTGTCTAAGACTTTATTCTGATTTTTTCTGCTCTCCGCAGGTGGTGCTTGGCACTTTTCATTTAATGTGAAATTTTACCCACCAGACCCTTCCCAGCTCTCTGAAGATATCACCAGGTATTTGAAAGTTGGCAGTGAAAAAGGCAGGCATGTTGGGAGTTGTGCTCCTGTTAAATTCTCGGGCGGAGGGCAGGCTTACATCTGGTGACCTTACAGTCATCCACGCCGAAATGGCAAACAGAAGACAACTGAATGAGAGCAAACATCCGATGAGAAGATTTGCCAAATCATATCTGTTCCCAGTTGAATCTTTGGTGCTAAGCTGATACTTCCCTGTGCTTGACCCTGGTGGGAAAACACACAGAATTGAGTTGCTGTCATCTACACACCACAGTCAAATTCGACGGGGTTCAGCCTTAAATGATACGACAGTTCCTAGTGCTCCTCCTTCAAAACTTAGAGCAAAAGTGTGTCTTCGGATGCTTATGCCTTTTTATACAACCAGTCTGACACGTGGTGGCTGTTTTAAAAAATCACACAGGCGTGCACACACACGCACAAATGCACATAAACACGTGCACTCCTAAGAGTGTACCTTCCACACCTTCTGTATACAAGGAAGATGTTTCATTCGTTTTAGAGAAAAGGCATCAAGAAAGGAATCTAACAGTCTGGCCTGGTGACTGAGCTTTGAGTATAAGGAAGAATCTCTTTATGAAGCCATTCTGGGTTTGCTGTGTGTCCCTCTAGGCCTCTTCTAATGCTTTCTACTTTGGAATCCTTGGTTTTTTCACTGTGTTTCGTAGTAAGTTTATAGCCAGTCAGAGTGATGCTGTGCAGTGTGGCCTTACAACCCTTTTTGGCAGGCTTTTCAGGAAAGAGAAATTACTCAAAAAGTTTTAGTCACTTGCTATGATGAAAAATCGTTTCAGCAGACATGTTAGGAGATGGGGAAAAACTAGTTCCAGAAGATTTCTTTTATATTTTCATTAAATCAAAAAACAATTTGTAATTTCTTATATAAAGATACTTTTTAGTAGTTGAGGGACTATTTAATTGTGGCTAATTTATGGTTAGAGAGCGTATATATACTTTGAGTTGGAATCTAGTGCATGATTCCTTTCCATTTGTGTCATGTGTGTAGGGCCTATGACATGTGTAGGAATTTTTGTGTCTGGATTACATGGCATCTACTTACATCATCAGCTTAAAACCGTATTTAGAGGGGACCTTAACACTTTATCATACAGTCCTCAGCTTCAGCAGACTAACGGTTCGTTTCTTGTGTGAAAGGTACAAGGTATATTTTATTCTTATACTCATATGCTGGGCCATGAAGACTTAATAAAATTCACCAATGTTCCCACTTACCTTGGAGTCTTCTACTGTTAGTATATCTGTCACTCTTAGAAGCAGAATAACAGGGAAGGTAAAAGTCAGCTATTAACGGAGATATTTGCACATGATATTGGCAAAATTATGTGGAAAACGTTTCACAGTCCCCCAGTTTAGAATTGTTTGCTTTTAGTGATGAGATTTTAAGGTAATAATTCTTCAGAGTTAGTCTTCGTAACGGTTGAATTCTAGGAAGTTATCTAAAGAAGAAAATGAGACCTTGACCCAGGAGAAAGCTCCCCTCATCAGGAACGCGGGAAGTGACAGGTAGTGTTCATGATGGCACAGCCGTTGAGTTACCTGCAGTTTGTCTTGGTCGTGTGGCAGGACCTTTCATCTGGATAGCAAAATGAGACTTCCTTTAGGTAGTTGGGGCCTAATCATTATATTTAAGAGCACCATTTTTATATTATAATTTCCCCCACCAGAGATTTTGTTTGACTTTCAACGTTATCTTAATGTTAGAGAGAGAGTCTGTAGGTTTCTTTTATTCTGTGTCTCATCAATGAATCCCTGTATTATTATGAACTTGCCTCTATGTGCCCTTAAATATTGTATTTTGTAGCTAAGTATCTTCCCCTGGTATATAGATCCAGATACAGATGCTAGACAATGTGTCCTAGTGGATTATTCTGCAGGGAGAGCTTGCTTGCCGCCCACTTTGTACTGGGCAGTCTCCTTTACAGTCTCCTAACGCTGGCTTTCTGCCTGTCCTCTGGCTCCTGGAAGGTACTACCTCTGCTTACAGCTGCGCGATGACATCGTGTCTGGCAGGCTGCCCTGCTCCTCTGTCACCCTTGCCACGTTGGGCTCGTACACGGTCCAGTCAGAACTGGGAGACTACGACCCAGATGAGTGTGGCAGTGACTACATCAGCGAGTTCCGCTTCGCGCCAAACCACACAAAAGAACTAGAAGACAAAGTCATCGAGCTGCACAAGAGCCACAGGTTAGCGGCAGGAACCCCGAGAGCGTCCGTTTAAGCTGTGCTCGGTGGGTGGGCATCCCCTGCACCACCTGCTTCTCCCGGGACTGAAGTCAGTGCCTTAAGGGTGGGACTCAGCAGAGTGAGGTTCTGGACCTGGTACAGTTCTGGGTAGTCACACTCCTACTCGGGACGTCCTTGTGATGTTTCTGCTAAAAGCCATTTTCCTGGTATTCTCCCCCCGCCTCCCCCAGAGTACAAATCTTTTGGTGCCTCTGTGGGAACTTGCAAGGGGGCTAAGTGGAAAATATTATGGCTCCACCAGGTTAAAAAAAAAACAAAAAAACCCCAGCATTGTAATACCTCTCATTTTTTCTTACCAGAGGCATGACGCCCGCAGAAGCAGAGATGTATTTCTTGGAAAATGCCAAAAAGCTCTCCATGTATGGGGTGGATTTACATCATGCCAAGGTATGCATATTTTAAACTCCAGGCCTTCTATCTAATTTTATTTAACAGTGTCCAGGACCCAGTTGTCACAAACGTTGTATGCCAAGTACTGTGTATGCCCCATTGTGACGCCCACCAGGCACTCAGAAAATTCATGTTAAATTTTAAAAACTCTCTATAAAGTTTAGATACTGTGACAAATAATCAGTGCTTTGAAATAAGATGGTTATTTTGAAGTTCAGTTAAAATTAACCAGCCAGGCTAAGATTGCCTAGTCTATCACAGTGGTTCTGTGACTTTTCCTGGGAACAGCTTTGATCCATCTTCTGAGCCGATAAAAGCTCTGAGTTCCAGAATAGCCCTGCTCTCCACCTCATCACTGTCACCATTTTATTTTATTTTTTTTGCCTAACTTGTCTTTTAAAGAAAGAAAAAGAGGGAAGAGATAAGATAAGAGAGCAGAGAGAACTGGAGAAGCACTATAGTTTGGGGTTTGTTTTGTTTTGAACTTTCTCAGTCACTGCGTGTAATAAAACGGATTCTCCATCCTTACATACAGCACATTAATTGTAGTGTTTGGTCAGTTTATTTTCAGGACATTCTCTGTAATAAATAATTCTGCTACAAATAAATCCTCTCTGCCTGTGCAAAAAAAAAAGAAAAGATTGCCTAGTCGATGGGTGAGTTGTTGAGGCTGTATCTTGGTTCCAGAGTCTTGCGAAGAGAGAAGTCAGGATTGGGCTGGATTAAGGTTGGGAGGATGTATCAGCAGCTTTTACTCATGTCACACTTTTTCCAGAATCTCTGTACCTTTCAACAGTGAGAGAGTGAGCGTATGGACTGTTAGCCTATTATCTGAACAGCTGTGAATAGAAGTGCCGTGGAAGCAGAGGCAAGGTTTCCCAAAAACTTCTATCAGCAAAACATAGGAAATGTGTTAGGCTCTTAGGGATAGATTCTGGTACTTCAGCAGCACTGAAAAGATCAGTGCTTGAAGTTCGGGGACAGCTTCTGATTTGGGCTGACACAAGGATGTCTGTTGCTCCTGGGTGGGGATGTGGCTTTACTTCGGGTGGACAGAGTGGTCATGATCGCACAGTCTTGGGCTCACAAGAACAGGCACTTAACAGGCTGCCAGCCGAGCGAGTGTCTTACACAGTCAAGTTTGGGGCCAAGAAATGAAGAGGGTTTCAGCCGGCTTTGTTTAGGCAAACATCTCAACAACGCTGGGGACCTCTAGGAGGAAAATCTGTGATGTCTACATTCTGTTGATGCTGCATTTGGGGACCTGACAGATTGAAAGTGAGTTTGGACAAGACGATGGTGAGGATCACATGAACGCAGGTCGAATTGGTTGCGTCTGTGGATCATTTTGTACATCACTCAGGGTGAGCACTTCTGAGGCCTGAAGGCCTCAACAAGAGCAGAATCTCTGAGGATTGGCTAGGGCTCACACCAGGGATGCTGGCACCGGAGAGCCAAGCTCGTTGACATTTGTGTGTGTAATTACAACAGCAGGTGTAGCTCTGTTTACTTGCCAGTTAATTATTACATGTTTTCACTTACTTTGTGCTCGGATAACATAGCATTTTATAGTTTATGCCAGATATAAGGTAGGATGAGGATTTTAAAAGAAAATAAGGACACGCACCAAGATTGTGTTTCTCTTAGAGTTTTTCCCTACGTGGCTAAAAGATAAGGAAACAAGACAGAAATGAAGGTAGCCTGGAAATTTGCGTGACTCGAAAGCTATTTTTGAGTTACATTACACACGACGACTCAGTTACTGCCCAGGGGAAAATAAATAAATAAATAAATAAAAGGTGAGGGCCTCCATTTAGGAGAAGGGCAACTCAGCATGTATCTGTGTTCCTATCAGGAAAAATGAAATCATTTAACATGGCTATAGCGACTGAATTAAAATAGATGGCTGCTTTGTCATTCAATAATGTGATTTGAAATTATGCCAATTAAACCAATTAAAAAAGAGCGAGAATTAAGGAAGTGCCAATGCAGCCTGTGATAGGATTTCATGTGAATACTAAGTATAACAAATGATTTGGTTATGGACTTCATTTTCTCATGCAGACGCCCTCCATCATTTCAAGAAGGAAGTTTACTGAGTTAAATTAGAGCTAATTTCCAGTTATAAGTGAGATGCTTCTCTTCTGTTGATAGTGTTGAAAGGCCCTGAGCTCTAGGACCTAGTTAGAAATTCTGAACTGTGATCTTGGACTCCACAGCTCTGTATGAAGAATAAATATCCATATTAGGTGAAGGTCCCTTGGTTTGGAAAACCTGTTCTAAATGCTTTGTTTTTTTCTTAGGAAGACTGTCTCTGCTTGTTTGTCATTTAACGTCACTCTGAATAGGCTCTGTCAGAGTCATTTGTTTCATATAAGATTCTGAAATGTAGTTATAAATCCATATCGGGTATCCCGTGGACCAGGAGATAATAAAGGATGGGAAAGTTGGAACAGCGATTTTAAGTTAAGAGAATAGTACCTTCGTTTATTTTAATTAGGATAGGCTGAGGCTGTCCAGGGCTTCCTTCAATGCTCCCTGCTAAAGGGAGCATTAAATATGTTTATTGATAGGGAAACACATGTCCCCAAGAAAGACCACGATGATAGCTTTTTTTTTTTTTTGCCATACGCGGGCCTCTCACTGTTGTGGCCTCTCCCTCTGTGGAGCACCGGCTCCGGACGCACAGGCTCAGCGACCATGGCTCACGGGCCCAGCCGCTCCGCGGCATGTGGGATCTTCCCGGACCGGGGCACGAACCCGTGTCCCCAGCATCGGCAGGCAGACTCTCAACCACTGCGCCACCAGGGAAGCCCCGGTTATAGCTTTTGATACAGAAGATTTATCAAGCTACTACCTCAATGCTATGGGCTGCGGCAGTAACCTTGATATCAAAAGTATCCTTTTTTTGGTTGCTGTGCCATGAATGAAATGGAAGCGATCATCAATTTTAAGCTCCACTTATTCCTGCCATTTTCTTTCTTCGTTTGCCTTTTCTTCCGGCAAACACGTAGTGGCTTAACACATGCTAGGCAGGCGCTGTGCTGACCAAGTGGCCAGGTCAGCAGGATAAACAGAGGCTGCTCTCCACCAGCCTGGGTCTGGAGAAGGAAGAGGAATGGGGTTAGTGGCAGCACCGCTGGCTCGGGCTGTGCTGACGATATTAATGCTGTGGGGACCCAGCGAAGTGTGTGTGGGAGACGGTAAGGGAGGATGCATCGCAGGAGCCTCCCATCTTCCCCACAAACGGATTCCACTTTCTTGTGATTCAAAGATACTAAGGAGTGATTTAAAGTAGATAATAATGGAAGAGGTTGTGAATGCCCAGACTGCTTGCTACACTTATGTTCTTCATCACAAAGAAAGTGACTCAAGGAGCCGTTACTCCAGCAGCCCTGCTCGCGCAGACATTTCTGCTCAGGACCTGGGGGGTCTCCTGTGTGGTCCTGGGAGCAGGTCGGCTAGATCTCAGGGTCCATCGTGCCCCCCACCCACTGCCCTACTTCCGGCATCAGGTCATAGCTCTGTAAATTGCTCTTTCAGGTTAAAGCCCTTGATAAATGGTGGCGGAGCCTTTGAATTCCCCTCAAATCTGATTATGTTGTAATATCCTGCCGTCAAGTCCTTCCACTTCCATAGAGTGATTTTCGTGTCTAGTGGAGTGATACGTTTCCAAGGAAAAATATTTCATTTTAAATCAGTTAAATTGTGTGTGTAACCTCACAGTTCCCAGAGAGGGACCAAAATATGTATTTCTGATTCTGGAAATATTCATCTTGTGCTTTGCACTGGCGGGATTTAGGAAGTCAGTCCCTCCCACTCCCGTACAGATGAGTCAGAAGCCCCCTTTTGGATTCTTTCATGTCTCCCTCCCCGTGTTTGCTGGCGCTGCAGTGACTCAAAGTGGGACAGCCCCGCCGATGATTGTGTCTCAGACCTCAGCTTCGCCTCCACAACACCCTGCTTCCAACGACCAGTGAGACACGGGGGGTGGGGACCGCACATCACACACAGCACCGCCTTCTGTCCTTTGTTCTCACCCCACTCAAGACCACCACAGATGTTCACTTTACCCAAATTTCACTGGGACACAATATTGAGGGGGCATAGACTGCTCGTGGGGTATCCCCTGAGCTTTATATAACATCTCTGATGACCTCTGGGACCCCTCATTGCACATCCCAAGGAGATGACCCAAAGATGGACTGTGCGAGCAGCAAAAGAAAGTTGCAGATATAGCATGATCCCACTTTTGTTTGAAAAGAAATCTATATGCATATATTAAATGCATCTGTATTTATGTATGTGAGCCAAGTGGTTAAGTGAGCACCACTGGGCGGTGAGTGTGTGTTGGGGTCCTGTTGGGGAGTACGCTTGTACTTTAAAAAGACTATTTTATGTTCAAATTTTACTCTGACAGTAATGGTATACAAAAAGAGAATCAAGGGCTTCCCTGGTGGCCCAGTGGTGAAGAATCCGCCTGCCAAGGCAGGGGGCACGGGTTTGAGCCCTGGTCTGGGAAGATCCCACATGCCACGGAGCGACTAAGCCCGTGTGCCACAACTACTGAGCCTGTACTCTAGAGCCCGCCAGCCACAAGTACTGAAGCCCGCGCGCCTAGAGCCCGTGCTCCACAACAAGAGAAGCCACCACAATGAGAAACCTGCACACCACATCGAAGAGTAGCCCCCACTCGCTGAAACTAGAGAAAGCCCACACGCAGCAACGAAGACCCAACACAACCAATAATTAAATAAATAATAAAAATTAAGTTAAAAAAAAAAAAAACGCGGACCTCTCACTGTTGTGGCCTCTCCCATCGCGGAGCACAGGCTCCAGACGCGCAGGCTCAGCGGCCATGGCTCACGGGCCTAGCCGCTCCGCGGCATGTGGGATCTTCCCGGACCGGGGCACGAACCCGTGTCCCCTGCATCGGCAGGCGGACTCTCAACCACTGCGCCACCAGGGAAACCCCCAGAGAATCAAGACTTTTTAAAGGAACAAACCCCAAAACACTCATCGGAAATGATGGGGGTCTCTCTATTAGTGTACGTATTAGTTAAAAGCCCTGCCCCTGGAAGCAGGCTGCCCATATTCAACTGGAATGGACACTTAACCTTTCTGTGCCTCAGTTTTCTTGCCTGTAAAGTGGGAGTCATAATAGCAGCTGTCTCAGAATCTTCACTAGCTATCTCCTAGTGAAGATGAACAATGTACGTAAAGTCGTCAGAGCCGTGCCTGGCACTCAGTAATAACTGAGGCTCTGATCGTTACTGTTACTAACACACCTTCACCTGGGTGACCTTCTCTGTGTGCAGTGTTGACATGCTGTGTAAGTCCAAGATACCTGGGTGAACAGAGTTTACACTAACAAATCTCCGTAGTGATAAATATCTTCATTCAAAGGCTATTATTTAGTGGTAATATTTTTTAAAGTGCTACAGTACTTTGCATATTTAGATGAGAGCTGCAGGTAGCTAATTATAGGTTCTGACCTGGAGGCTTAAATAGTGTACCCGCCACAAATGGAAATAGGTGAGATGCTCATCCAGCGTTTCTTGCTGCCATTTTCCAGGATTCTGAGGGAGTTGAAATCATGTTAGGAGTGTGTGCAAGTGGTTTGTTGATATATCGTGACCGACTACGCATCAACAGGTTTGCCTGGCCAAAGGTTCTAAAGATTTCATACAAACGGAGCAACTTTTACATTAAGATCCGGCCGGGAGAGGTAAGTAGACCCCAATTTGCATGTACGTCGGGAAGAAAGTTACCAAAGAGCAAACAAAAATGTAAATTACCTGCTCACACGTTCTGAACATGGCAGGACGTAATGAGTTATAGCTAAATGCCTAAGAGAACTTATTGTAGGTTTGTCCAATAAACAGTAATACATAAGATCTTCTCTTCTTTTTTATTGTGTTGTTCTAGGTTTTCCCCACTGCATACATTAATTGAAAGGCTTTCCTTTTTACATATTTCAGTGGAAAATCAAGGTTCATGAATAATGTTTTGTATTTTTCAAGCTGCGGTATCAAAGAAACTCTTAGTTGCTAAACCTCTTTGTGAATGGAGAATAGATTTCTTCCCATCGGTCCTGTTGATGTGTCTCCGTGTCCCCTCTCCTGTCCTCCAAATCTGATAGTACCCTAAAGGGACTAGCTTAGAGGTAACATGCATCAAAGTATAAGAAAGATTAGAACAAGTGACACCGGGTATAAATTATGCAAGTTCTGTAGCCTAATGTATTTCTCCCCTTTGTTTTTCAATCAGAGAGGCTAATGAAAGAATCAAAATTGTTAATTAATCCGTGCTCCTTAGGCAGGAGCATCCACCCATGGTCACCTTAGGTCCCCCTCAGTGGCTTGACATAATATATAGTAAATAGCTGCTGATTTCTCATAGTAGATAATGAATATGTCCAAGTTCTGATCAGTATAGTTAATATAATGGAGGCAGTTGAGGCTCTAAGACTGCAGCTCACTTAGCTTCTGAGCATTTTCTGGTACAATAGAGAATTATCTCCTGTCTTCAGAATTAACCTCACCACTGGTGGAAAACGCAATTTAAAAATCACTGTATGGAATATAATGTACAGCATGGTGACTGTAGTTCATAACGCTGTATTGTGTATTTGAAGTCGCTGAGAGAGTGGATCTTAAAAGTTCTCATCGTAAGAAAAAGAATTTGTAACTTTGCGTGGTAATAGATATTAACTAGCCTCATTGTGGTGGTCATTTCACAAAATATACAAATATCAAAGCATTATGTTGTACATCCGAAACTAACATAATGCTATGTGTCAGTTATATCTCAGTACAAAAAAAGTTTAAAGAATACGACTATAAAGCAAGCAATCGTGTTTAATGTAAATATAAAATCAAACTTGTCTATGAAGACTGAAATATTCTACGAGCTATCTGAAATTAAAGTCATTTTTTAATATTTCCTAAAGATTGCATGTCTTACAACCAAGATATGTTTGATTTATGAAACATTAAGTGAGCATCTATATATTGCCAAGCACTGTGCTGGGCATTGAGAATAGAAAGATAAATACGACCTTGTTCCAGTCCTATAGGGAGTTTGTGTTCAGCAGAGAAGACTCACACACTTGCAATTACAGCATCACGATGCAAGTGTGATAATATTCCATAGACGTGAAATGAGCGTAGGTGTCGTGAGGGGCCAGAAGGGGAAGTTGGAGCAGTGCATCATGAGACCATAGTGAGCCATGGGAACTTTAAACTGGGATGTGACATACTCGGTGGATATTTTGGGATGAAATTCAGCAACTTAGTAATGTGATGTGATAGGACCTAAACTAGGGCAGAGGCTGTGGGAATAGAATGGAAGAAGCACATTTGAGAGAGAGGTTTCAGAGGCAGAACCAGTAGGTCCTGGAGACAGGATGGGGGAAAGATCAAAAGAGGAAAGAAGAGGGCTTTCCTGGTGGCGCAGTGGTTGAGAGTCCGCCTGCCGATGCAGGGGATGCGGGTTCGTGCCCCGGTCCGGGAAGATCCCACATGCCGCGGAGCGGCTGGGCCCGTGAGCCATGGCCGCTGAACCTGCGCGTCCGGAGCCTGTGCTCCGCAACAGGAGAGGCCACAACAGTGAGAGGCCCGCGTACCGCAAAAAAAAAGAGGAAAGAAGAGAGTCCAGGATAGTCAGAGGGTTTTGGGTTTGCATGAGCGAAGTCAATGGTGATGATATTACTAGAGAGAAAAAGGGAGAATTTCAGAAAAAAAGATTGAAGTTCCTTTTGGGACAGATTTTGGTGGGGGGTGATCCTTGCATAGTAAGAAATATAAGATTTAAACAGTGTCATCAGCTGTATAATACATTTTATTCAAAGCCTTAGGTCTGGAAGAAATTACCAAGAACAAGGAAGTTAGAGGGGAAAAAACTCTAAAACAAAAACTCTGGATAATACCACTTTTTGAGGGAGGGGTAGGCAGAAAAGCACCAGAGGCAGATGAGGAAAAACAGCCAGAGAGGAGAAGAAGGGCCAGAAACAGTCATGGATGATAAATAAGGAAGATGAGATTCAGGGAGCCTGGTTCACCAGCAGTGCCAGACGGGACAGAGGAGGTGCTCGGATGAGAACTAAGGAAAGTGTGTTGAACTTGACGATCAGGTCTTGTCGCGGCAGTAAGGGTTCAGGAAAGAGCTAGAGCACCCGGCAGGTAGCAGCAAGGTGAGGAGTGAAGTAGCAGCGGCTTCCCTTCCTGACACTTAGCAGTGATTCTGGTTCCGCAGAAACACGCTCAGAGAAAGTCGTTTTCCCCCCCTTTTTCACAACCATATTCATAGGCTGAGAAGAATGAGTGAGAAGGAATTACTGGTGGCACGAAGGCTCTGAAGCGGTCGGAAGAAGTGGATACAGAGCACAGAGAGAGAGAGAGAGAGACGTTCAGAAAGTTCTGGGATCTCTCTCATCTTTGTGCTGAGCAGGACAGAGCAGTAAGAGAAACTTCCCGGCTTCCTGCTTCTTCCGGGAAGAGCTAGCTGACTCTTCTGTAAAACCCCTGGCCTTAGCATGGCGTGTCGTCCATGTGAGATGCAGGATGAATAAATGGAGGATGGTTTAGTCAAGGTCCCTTCCTCTGGCTTGTCAGTTGACTGGGTCCATTTGACGGGGGTGAGTTTCATGACCGTCCCTGGACAGGAACGTCAGAGAGAGGGAGAAAATGGGGAAGGCGACTGCATTTAGAGCCACCCGTGATGTATTTCCCCTTCTCCCCCTGGCCAGTCCCACTCAGTGAACAAGAAACAGAGGTCCGGAATAGCTAAAGTTCACATACCTCGCACAGGACCCCTCCCCTTGGTTCTTTGCCACATAAATTACTTTTGCTATCGATTATACCAGTAGTCTCGGGGGTTTGAGCTCTTTGGGGAAGGCTTTTACTGTTTAAGATGATTGCCCTCTGGTGGCCTGATGTATCCTGTCTTCAGAAAATACAAAAATTTTTTTGAGTATCTGCCATAGTAATATTAAAATATATTACTCAGGAAGTTAGCTATCTCACCCTGAAAAAGCAGATGGCTGATGGAGTATGATCTGAACTCTACATGCTGAAAAATATGAAAATGTGTTCTCCCAATCCCTGACCTTATACAGTCGGCCCTCCGTATCCCAGGGTTCTGCATCTGTGGATGCAACCAACTGTGGATTGAAAATATTCGGGAAAAAACTTCTAGAGAGTACCAGACAGCAAACCTTGAATTTGCTGCATGCAGGCAGCTGTTTCCGTAGCATTCACGTTGTATTTCAACTGTTTACCTGGCATTTACATTGTGTTAGGCATTATAAGTAGTCTAGAGATGATTTAAAGTATATGGGAGGGCTGCATAAGTTATATGCATGTATAGTATGCTATTTTATGTAAGGGATTTGAGCATTCACAGGTTTTGGTATCCACAGGGGTCCTGGAACCAATCCCCTTTGGATACTGAGGGACGACTGTATAATATTGAGAGACGTTAGCATTTAACATGATAATCCATATTAGAATGCGCAAATAAAATCAGCAGTATCTGATACCAAGTCATCAAATACCTAGGATATGCGCATATTTCCAGACCAGATACAAGGAGAAAATGTCATCCTGAGAATGCTGTTTTATTCATTTCTTTGCGTTCCAGCTGAAGCCATGATGTCAGAGAGAAACTATGATGATTAGGCTTAGAAATCAGATCAGGACAAACTGGTCTCTGGAAGGAATACAGATATTCTTCTTTTTTTGCATTTAGTTTTCATAAGATTCATCCTTGTACATGAAACTTTTACTACATGCATAATGTGGTTGTCTGTACCTGCAGCATTTTAAGGAGATAGATATGAGATTTTTTTTAATGAGTGAATGTGTATAGCATGAAATCTGTGTATAGCAATTGATTTAGGGAGTAAAGAAAAAATTTGTGGGTGGTATTTTGACTTTGTATATTATTTGCTTTCATGTTATTTATGATTCCAAACTTCACTCTACTCTTCAATATGTCTTTTAAATTTAGTTTGAACAATTTGAAAGCACCATCGGGTTTAAGCTGCCCAACCATAGAGCGGCCAAGCGTTTGTGGAAAGTGTGTGTGGAACACCATACATTTTTCAGGTGGGTAGAGATCATTTTGGTCTTTCCTAAGGAAGAATTAGAATGATTGGAATCACCTACACTGATAAAAGGTTGTTGGAAAGAAGAATGTGGCCACAAGATCCTTTCTATTCCTTCAAGCTTGTTGCCGCCAGATTTCTTGATAAATCCTAAAAGAACTTCTGACTAAATTTGAAGGATTTTCCTTAATTTGTTGGATACTTATCTGTCTCATCTCCCCTTCATTATCTTGAGAGGTTTTTCATTATTTTTCTAGAACATCCACTTCAGATGTCCAATCCCTTCCTTACTCTTTCAGTAGCTTTTCAATACCATGCACCCCTTTGCCCACATCCAGTAAGTACTAAAGCCCTCAGATTTGTGTCTACAAAGTAATAAATGATCACTGTTCTTCACTAACATCCCCTACTTAATTGCTCTCTGGGTTTGTAGAACCACAGACTCTCCAGTTCCATAGGATGTTCAAATTCATCTAGTCCAGCTCCACCCCTGTTGTGCTTCTAGCCTCTCTACAACATCCCTAGTTGATATACACTGTGTGAAGTGATTTTTTTTCCTTATAAAACCAGGTTCACTGAATGGCAGGTTGGGGGTTCAACCTTGAGTACACAAAGCACTTTACCTTTCAGAACAGAGTAATAAGTTAGCATTCTTAGTATGTGGCTTAATAGTCTTGCTGATGTTTTTCCTTTAATATCTCCAGACTGTTGTTACCAGAAGCACCTCCAAAGAAGTTCCTTACCTTGGGGTCCAAGTTTCGTTACAGTGGCAGAACACAAGCCCAAACCAGGAGAGCTAGTGCATTGATAGACCGCCCAGCCCCTTACTTCGAGCGTTCGTCCAGCAAACGTTATACCATGTCTCGCAGCTTGGACGGAGGTAGGCACTGCTCCCCTTAACGATTGCTAGTGGCTACCGAGCAGCGAGAAACCATCGTGAGCCTTTAATGGACACAGGTGCTCTGCGATAGCATGAAAGGAAGAGCACTTGTTGGTCTTCAGCTGAGTGGCACATTTTAACCAACCCCCCAGAAAAGGTGCCTGTGTGAGTCTAATGTCTGTTCTTGGTGGGTTTATATAAAATCACACAAAAGAATGGTGCTTGGGGAATGAAGTAGCTTTCATAAGCTGGCACCCTGAATTTGGAGAAGGGTGCTCTCATTCTAAATATAGTAATCACATACTTATAAATAATTTGTTTCTCTTTTCAGCAGATGGTAAATGATTATCAGGTTGGTTTTAGATGATTTGTTTCCGAAAGAAAACTGTGCATTAGATTTATCTCTGTTTCTTTAAAAATGTTATGAATAAAACGTGACTTTTATCAGTCAGTGAATAATGGCTGATAGAAAGGATGACATTCAAATAACAGAGCAAAGGGCTCTAAGGAAATTGTCCTGGTTAATATTAATTACTACACCAGCTGGACTGGGAGAGCGTTGCTGTGTAAATATTCTGTACCGTGAAGTCAGATGTGTGAGTACCACAGGGAGAGTCACTGCATCACTGAAGTAGCATTTTTAAGGCATAATAATGAGTCTTTTGCAGGCTTTTGTTTTGTGGAGCAGTCTTCTGTGGCTGTCCAGAGGTACATGCAGATGTACTTTCTGCTCCAAGACATGGCAGCTGTAGGAAAGTTGGAACCTCTATATCCGTAGATGTGAAACCCACAGACACCGAGGGCCAACTGTATTCTTTGTACTACGTGCACCATTTTGTGTAAGGGACTTGAGCATCCGTGGATTTTGGTTATCCACGGGGGCCCCAGAACCATTCCCCCCAGACACCAGGGCATGACTGTGGCCAGACCTCTGCCTCCTAATCCAGAGCTCCTTGGGGGTGAGATGTTTTATAGGAGACTTATCCTGGGCACATAAAAAGAGAAGTTTCTAGCATGTGCGTACAATTTTAATAATAAGCAAAAGCATAGATAGAAACAAATAAAAGTTACAGGTGCCTGGTATCACCTCCCTCCTGGCCTTTTTTGCTGCCCGCTCACCATGGAGTCTCAGTTCTTCCTTCCATTTCGCCAAACCCCGATGTGGCTTGTAGGGAAGCGAACTCCCTGGATCGCCAGATTTAGAAGACTTTACTGTCCCAAAGGGACACTTAGAGGAAGTAAAAATTGTGTTATTAGTGCTGTATCGTTGTTATAAATTATATTAGCGAAGTAGGAAGAATGCTCGCCTAGCATAGATAAGTTCAGACCGATGTCCAGACTGTCTGTCTGTACAGCGGTGGGTGGATGAAGTACTGTCTGCAGGTCCCAGCTTTAGTCGTCGTCTGTAAGGTGGGATCAAGGCCACCTCTGACAGGTTGTTGCGAAGAGTGAATAAGACGTAGGTGAGAGCAGTCTTGTTACAGATGTAATCATAATGATCTCAGTAGGTATATTGATAATCATTCTTTAGGCTTTTGTGAGCTGGCCTAGGAAGTCAGTCTTACCATTCTCTGCCTTCTATAACAATGTCCCGTTTTTAGAATCTCTGAGAGCCAAACTTTTGGGAAAAACTGTTTATTAGGACCGTTTTGAGTCAGATTAAGATACTGAAAGATTCACATTGACAATGACACTTCTTTTGGCGGCGCCTCATCTCCTCTTCCTTGAAGAGTCTGTGTAAACTAGTGGGTGTTCTCTAAGTCAGTGCTGGAGGAACTTGTGTAGAATCACAGCTTTTTTCCCCGAATGTCATCCACTCTGTCCTGCGATGTGAACCCAAGGGGACACATTTGTTGTGAATGTTGTTTTCCTTGTGACCTTCTGTGTGATAATGATTGCTGAGAAGACAGAAGACAATTGTGAAATCAATGTACTAATTCCGTGCTGTCTCTTTCTCCCTGCCCAAAAGTGATGTTAGTATGTGTTGTCTCTCACCCTTTGGGGTCCTGCCAATTCTCGTATGTTTTCTGAGCTGCTGCTCGGGGGGGCCATGGCTGCATGTTGGAATAGAAACTGCTATTTGCAAGGTTGCATCGTCTGTTAGAACAGCCTAACAAGCCTTTTAGGAAACTGTGTCTCATATGAGCTTTTTCGTCATCAGTAAGAGATGTAAAATATCTTAGTGAAGGTATTTTAGTAAAACGGTTTACTATTCAAAGGATTTCAGAGCTTTTTCTTACATTTATGTTTTAAACTTCCTAAAATATGAAAGCAGATTAAATTTTGCCTACGATTTGAAAAGCAGCCTTTCTAAATTTCAGTAAATTTTATGGTACCTAAAACCTAAAAGAATGAGTACCAAATTTCAAAAGTCTAACTAAATTAAGCGTCTCTTTCACTGAGACATTTTAGCTGGGACGAAAGGCTGGGTGTTCTCTCTTACATTTGCGTGCTTTGCACTTGCATGAATTTCATTAGCAACATTTGTCTTGTTTTCCCAAAATACTAGAGATGAATGAATGTATGCATATCGTGGTAGTCTTTTTAAAGCACAGTAGAAATTAAAACATTTCTGCACTTCAGTTGAACAGAGTTACCATCTGAATTCTATAATCTCTGCCCAGTAAATGGTTACTTTTCATTATTACTTATGTAGCTTTTATATTGTAGAAGTGATAGACTTTCCAAGCACTAATAGTAGTAGTAATAGTAATAATAATAAAAAAACATTTCAGTGCTCCTTAATGAGTGGCACTTGCAAAGCTCTGTTTAAAGTCAAGTGCGCTAGGGCAGTTGTCTGTCTACTGTTAGTTGTGGAACTTGCCCCGAGTGTCTGGTGCTGGTGCCCCGCCAGTTACTCTGTGGGTAACAGCCTCGGTGGCCACTCAGCCCCGCATCCTTCCACTCACCTCCACCCTCACACACATCCTCACCAGAGAGCCTGAGAAGTGGATGGAAATTATTCTGGTGGCTTTGAGAGATGAGCATTGAAATCACGCTTAAACGCAGTTATGGGTGACAACAGAAGGATGAATCTGTGGCGTTGCTTAGATGAGAGTACCTGCAGGGCTGACCTGTCTTTTGAAGAGAAACCTGGTATTTTATGGGGAGATTTTTGCTGTAACGGGAGCAATCGGTGGTGTCCGTCTGTCTTCTGACTTAACTGTTTTGGTCTTTATTTCTCCAATTGTATTTGCTTTTAGCATCAGTGAATGAAAACCATGAAATATACATGAAGGATTCTGTGTCTGCTGCAGAGGTTGGTACTGGCCAGTACATAACAACAAAGGGCATCTCTCAGACCAACTTGATCACCACTGTGACTCCGGAGAAAAAGGCAGAGGAGGAGCGGGGCGAGGAAGACGACAGACGGCAAAAGGCCGAGGAAGCCACACCCGTCGCTGCCGTACGGCCCGAGGGAAAGGTACATCTCCCCGCTGTCTCCCCGACCTGTGCACTCTCTAAAGAACTCCTGAATAAGACTGAGGACGTAAGCCAGGAATGTGAATAAGACTTAGGCTAATTCGTATCTCAGCATTAGTCACCTTCATGTTGTCAACTTTTAAATTAGTATGTCCTCTGTCAACACTTTTCCTCTGCAAAAGCCCTTTCTAACTTTCGGGAAATTCTTATTGAACAACTGAGGTGCTACGTGAGACTTTCAGGACAGCTGTCCTGTCTGTAGATCTTAAAAATACGTTTGGTAGTGAATTACACTTTTCTGTTTGGGCTCACAATTCAGAACTGTCACTAAAGCTGTTTTCTTTGTTTCTGGCCCCATCCTCCTACCCAGGGCTGTGTATTTGTCTAGATGCACAGTAATTGCTTTGCCCTTCTTCTGACCGCTGGTAGCTGAGTGACCACAGCCTGCATACTTGTACACTGTTTCCACTGTTTCTCTCTCTCAGTCTTATCATCTTAACCTAACCATCAGAGTAGCCAGTGGATGTGTTTTGGAAAAGGGATATTAAGGCCGAAGTTTGCAAGGGAAGACGGAGGGCGAACTTGGCAGTAATTTTTCCAGGGTGTTTTATTCATTGAACTTGGTCACTTCATTTCATCCAAAAGTCAATTTATTTTTAAATATTATGTTTATTTCTGGAGGTCCATCACTATAACGCAACTTTTCAGGAAAATGAAAGTCAAAAAACATGTAGACAACCTGCTTCTGGTTCGGGGTTTTGTATGTCGCAGAGCAGCTCCCTAAAAGTCAAAGAACATGCCGGGAGGTTTATACATAATAATAATGGAAAAACAAGAGTGGGTCTTGGAATGTACAGAGTACAGAGTGAAAGGAAACAGCAGAATAAAAATGCCGTATAACTTAGAGGTTATGCTAAAACTTAGGTAAATTTGATTCAAAAGTGCTCTTTTGCACGTGGGCTCTTCAAATGCAGAGTACGGGGCAGAGAATCAGCTGGGACTCTGTAGAAAAATGCTCCTTTGGATAAGAATTTAACAGTGACCTCTAAATGGGCAGATTGGCAAACGTATCATCATTCTGTTTATGTTAGACTATCCCAATGACCCAGTCCATCATCCTTTTTTAGGGTAAGATTATTTATTTGCCAAACACAAAAATAAAAACAGGATAGGACATAATGGAAGGATATTTGGATCACTTTTGCTGTTAAAATGTGCTTTGTTCTGAATTTTGTTTTTACACTCTTTTCGTTTAAGGCGGGTTCTAACTAGGTCACGATCAGAAGATGACATACTTGAAAAGCCAATGTGTCCCATGATTTCTGAAAGTCGCCCAGGCCAACACTCCATTCTGAGGGATGTGTAAATATGATTAAGTGCCCCATAAAAGTAAATGACTTGTCGTTTGCTCCATAAACGATCCACTCCCACTTTGTTTGATTTTAAAAGATCAGCGATTTGTTTACATGAGATGGAGCCCTAAGCCAGCATCACTGGGTGCCTTTTATGCCGTGGGAGATTAGAAAGACCAAGAAGACTGTTCTCTTAGAGTCGGAGCCTCTGAGAAGCCAGCACTGTGACCCTGATGCCTTCTGAGAGGCCGTGGCTGAGGCCTTGTGCTGAAGGAGCTGAAGGGCTGTCTGCATCTCCCCCGCTGCAAAGCTGTCTTTAAAAACCACTCTAGGGCTTCCCTGGTGGCACAGTGGTTAAGAATCTGCCTGCCAATGCAGGGGACGCAGGGTCAAGCCCTGGTCCGGGAAGATCCCACATGCCGCGGAGCAACTAAGCCCGCGAGCTACAACTACTGAGCCTGCGTGCCTAGAGCCCGTGCTGTGCAACAAGAGAAGCCACCGCAATGAGAAGCCCGCGCACCACTACTAGAGAAAGCCTGGCGTAACAACGAAGACCCAACACAGCCAAAAAATAAATAAATAAAATTAATTTTTTTAAAAAAAGCCGCTCTAAAAAGCACTCTAATCAGCAACATGGACGATGAAGCCGTCATGTCATTCTTCTCTGTCTTCAAAAAGTAACGTAGAGGGCGCTTATTTTTTAACCAAGACGAAAATGTATTACTGAAAGTAGTTCTTAAGCGACTGGTCCCTAGATTCCTTTGAGAGGAGGTGTGTTTCCCCACTAACAATCACCCCAGCTGACGGGGCAGCCTCCACGGGCAGAAGGCGGCTTGTAACTTGTACATTATTCTCAGCTCAGTGAGATTTGTGCAGCGTCTTGTTTAAGACACAGTGTTTAATGTCAGATGTGAGTATTAGGAAAAGACATACTTGTCTGATACCGAAAAAGAGACACTTCTACATTCTACTAGATCCATGATATAATTTTATTTGTGCATTTTCTTACCCTCTGTCTCTATATTTACCAAGTCAGGGTTGGATTACCATCACAAAGCAGACCAGATAATGTCCATGCTCTCAGGACACTAGGCAGAAACACGCATGTGAGTACACACACAGACACACACGAGCAGAAGTTCAGTCATCTTCAGGCTCCAGGTGACCTTGTCTTGAACTCGGCTATAGCAGCTTCCACGCTGGCCCTGGGTCCTGTTTGGCATTTGCTTGTCTCTCCCACCCCTCTCGCTCAGCACCCCTCCACCACCTGCAGAGAAAGCTGGCTGTGGTCACGGAGACTGCGGGGACCAGGAAGGGTGTAAAGAACCTTACTTGCCCTGCACAAGCCTGCATGCCTCTCCCCAGGAGCACTATTGTGGGGTTGCCTGCCTTGATCGTCCCCTTAAGGACTCAAACCAGGCGGCTTAAGCCTACGGCTCCTCTAAGAAAAACCGGAAGGTGGGGAAATTGTATCTTCCTATTATTTATGGACCACAAGTAATACAAAGTAAGTGCTGATAAACCACATCACAAGAAAACACATTCTTTTTTGCTAGTTAGCTTGTTTGAAACCACTTCTTTAAGCTCCCCCGTGTACATTATGGGTAAGGGGCCAAAATAGTAGTTTTCAAAAGAGCCTCGGTGCTTTATGGAGAGGTAAGGTTCCTACGGTGTTCACTGTGGAATTACCTAATTGGAGCTGCTTATGGGTAGGAGTGGGGTCAGAAACTTCGTGATTTGGAAACCCACCTGCTTTGGCTATAACTGACTAACCAAGGAAAAGTAACGCTAGAGATTTTGTTTTTAATAATCAAAAATTGGATTCATTGTCATTTTAATCTAACTGAACCCTAGTAACAGATCTGGCAGCTGGAGATTAGGAGAAGTTATTGAAAGTCTTGGTTTTAAGTTATCAGAGAGTTACATTTGCTCTCAGCATCCTAAAAATTTCTGGAGTTGTTGGTCTAAACAGAAGTTTTGGATCATATGAAACGTAGTCATTGAGATTACCCACAGATATCTTCGGTTCTGATTCTTTTTTCAAGCCCACCCTATGTTTGACTTGAGGGTCTAATGGGAAGACGATGGCCATTCGTGGCAGTGTTGGCATGCCGCTTGAATACTTTAAAATTCACCAACAACCCTAGTGCTGAAATTCTTGTTTGACGATTTTTTTCTCGGTACCCATAAGAAAATTAACTAATTGCAGTTTTCTTTTTGTCCTTTTGCACCTCTGTTCGCTGCTTTCTGTCTCTCTCGCTGTCTCTCTCACATCAGTCACCCGGGCTTGGCACTGACTCATGTCCCCCCTCCCCCCCATCAGCCCGCTCTCCCCCTGCATCTCCCACAGGGCTCCGCAGGAGGTGTAAGGAGAACGGGCACCCCCCGTCGGGGGTCGAGCCGGCCAGAGACCCCGGGCACCTGCACAGGGAGCCCACCTCGGACTCTGATGGCCGAGGGAAGCCGTGCCTGGGGGACCACGATGTGGCTTTTAGCTGCAAACAGCGGCCGGGCAGAGGGGCCACGCTGTTTTCCTTCTCCTTGCAACTCCCCGAGTCTTTCCCCTCTCTCCTGGATGACGATGGCTACCTGTCCTTCCCCAACCTTTCCGAGAGCCACCTCCTGCCCCAGAGCTTGCGGCATTACCTCCCCATCCGCTCGCCCTCTCTGGTGCCCTGCGTGCTCTTCATCTTCTTCTTCCTGCTCTCCGCCTCCTTCTCAGTGCCATACGCCCTCACTCTCTCCTTCCCTCTGGCTCTGTGCCTCTGCTGCCTGGAGCCCAAGGCGGCCTCCTTGAGTGCCTCACTAGACAATGACCCGAGTGACAGTTCAGAGGAAGAGGTGTGTACCGCGGTATAGAACACACGTCCCTGTCGTGCTCGGGGCCGCGGTCCGAAACAGTCTCAGACGGCTGCTGCGATAGCGGTCCTGCTTTCAGAGCCTCATTTATCGTCTGTGCCAATCTGTGCAGAGGTTTTGTGTGCAGGGGGTGCGACCCGGCCCCGGGGTTAGGCACAACACCATGTGGATGCAGCAGGCTGAGCCCGGCCCGGAACCGCACTGCCAACCCCCACCGACTCCAGCGAGTGGGGAAGGACTCAGCCGTGAGCCAATTGTAAATAAATAACCCGTTAGCTACGTAAGAGCTCAGGGTCGACTTAAAGGCTCTGTTCAGTTCTCATTCAATAAAGGGAATGACACAGAAGACGGATGAGTAATTTTCAACTAGATTGGCGGCAAGTTACCAAAATGTACCCTGCTGTAATGATGCACAGTGGTGATACACACCAGGTAAAGGATGCTCAGGGCGCGGCAGGAGAGAGCACCGCCGCCGTCGAGGTGCATCACCACCCTCGGGGCAGCTCTCCAAGACTGTAAATGCCTCCCTCTCCTCCCTGGAGATTCTGAAATGCCCCCGCTGCTCTTTGATTGTCATTGCCAGACCGTCATTGTTACTCCATGAGGGGAGCCCGACCCCGTGGGTGTGTTGGGTCAGAAAGAGGGGCTTGAGCGGTTTAAAACGCTCCGTGACATTGGTCATCGGCAGGGCCAGAAACAGGACCAGAAAGAGCGGCAGTTGAAAACAGCAGTTTCCAAACACAATCAGGAAAGACTCCTGTTAGGTTTCCATACGCTGTAAAAATGGGCTGAGATTTCATGAACACGAGCAATGCCAAGGCATGTGTTGAGTGGCACCCATTCTCTCAGTTCCGGCGTGAGGCTGGGGAAGTTGGAGGGGCCTCTGCGGCTAGCGACCAGGAAAGGACTTGAGCCTTCAGCCTCCATCCGTGAAAGCAGGCTGCCTGTCAGTCCCCCGTCCCTCATCCGAGCCATTGGGGGAGGTGACATCCTAGCAGGTAGTGTTTCCTCTTAATTGCTCCCCTTTCCCTCCACTCCATTGCCCTGTGAACAGCCCAGCGGTTTCCCTCTGTGCAGCCTTTAAATAGAACGCAGGGGAAAAGAACAGAAGTGCCAACAGGCCCCTGGCTGAAACCCACCCTCCTACCTACGCCTGCCCCCGGCTCCTCCAGCAGTTCTGGAGGGTTTTGTGTCAGGAGCCAAACCCAATACACCTAGCATTAAAAAAGAAAATCGCAAAGTCAAAGCAACGCTAAGAAAGGAAAGTCTATTCAGTTCTATGCTCAGCTAGAAATGGTAATCCGAGCTGCACCTGTGAGTAGATAGCATTGTGAGGTACGTATCTATATTTAGTGGTATTATGACTGTTTCTTTGCAGCAGCAGGAAAAAAGTGGGAATGGTCTCCAAGACGTTCCCAAGAAAAGTTTAGGCTTTTCAATTTGATGTTGCCTAAGAGCCCTTTGCAAGGTTCTTGGATCCTCTGTGACTTAGCTCCAGATCTATCTGTGTGTAACTATTTTCGTACGTGGAAAATATTTTAAGAGAAAAACCACTCTAAATCCTAGGTTTGAATATCACCATTTCTCATAGTAGCAACGTAATCAAATAACGTAGGTCCAAAGCTACAGTTATGACGAACGCAGTATTATCTACAAAAACTGTTTATAATATTAGCTGGTTTCCAACCTGCTCATCTTTGTTCCTTTAGCAGTGGAGCTAGTCATCAAGCTAACAGAAGGTGAAAAGATTGCCATTTTATGTTTTTCTGCATTTTAAATAACCGAACTTTTATGTAGCAAACCACACAGATCTTGTGCCTAATCCAGGGTGTACATCTTGTTGTAATCAGTGCATGAAAATTAACGTTCAACTTGGGCATGTCTGCATTACATCAGCAAAACAAATCACAGCAGTTACTCCTCGCAAGCTGGAGGCCGCGTGGCTGGTGTTCCCCACATGCAAACCCTCCTCTGAGACCGTGAACCAGCTCTGGCCGAGGCGGCCTTTCTTGTCCTCCGCTCCAGCCTCGGTCACCCGTGACGGCTGTCCTGCCACATGACTTTGTATTTGGCCATCTGTTCAATGTCGTCTCAACCCCAAGTGTTAAGAGCTGTGAGCTCTGGTTCAAGCTGAGCTAGAGAACTCAGATGTAGGTCATTCAGGTAAAAAAACAAAAACAAAAAACACTCGCCATTTGTTAACACGGCCTGTTTTACTCCCTGGGCCTCAAGTGCTTTGGCAGCTAAACCGGGTGACTTTGTAACATACGGTTCAGCTCCGTCACTTTGGTTTTGCAAAATCACTAATGACTCTGGTTCTTTTTAAATATTTTATCATCACTGCTTACATCTGTCACGTGTGGTAGTGGCTTAATTAGTCCTAGCCCTTCTCAAGAGTGAAACCCAGTGCAGAGAGCTGTAATCATTTCAAACTACAGAGCTGTTAGCTTTTCTTTTTTTTCATTTGTCCTTCTAGAATTTTGGTCAGATAAGGAGGGGCCGAACGCTAAATCATCTACATCTGTCCAGAGACGTAAGATGAATTTAGCTCACCGTAATTATGTGTCAACCTGTGAAGAATTTTTTGATAATACCAAGAAAGGAGGTGGATGAAGTCTAGAGGAAAAGATTGATCACTTGATTTAACATTTTAGATGGTGTAAACACATTATATGATAGTCCATGGCATGCCGTACATTTTGCAGTTTTTCTTAGACATAGGATATTATATAAATAAAAGTTGCTATAAAAGCTGCTTTTTCAGACTTTAATACTTCAGTCATTAACTGTATATTGATCAGGCACTATGTTTGTTGAATGACTGACTGACCAGGTGCTGAGTAGGGGATTGAGGGAGTTTAGATATGGCCTAAGCTGCTATTTATTTGTGTATAGCCAGGAAAAATAATAGCAATACTTAGGAAATACTATTTTGATATCAATATTTATGATTTTTATAGGCATTTTTAGCTGTGTGTATGTGTCAGGCATCGCATAAAGACTTAATTATCTGTTACCTGATACAGTTAGGGCTATGATTTTCCCCATTTTCCAAGAAGGAGATTGGGATTAAAATATGAAACCTGCCCCCTGTGCCACAGAGTTAAATAAATAGCAAAGGATTTGAGCTGACGTCAGTCTGTCCTGAGACCCCCTCACTCTTAACCATGGCGGTAATTCCAGTGCCAAGATGCCTGGAAAGCTGCTGAAGTGAATTCTAAAGCCATAAGGGAAATAATCAAAGTAGGAGGAGAAAAACTTTCAAGAACTTTCGAGGCCTTTGACACAAATAGTTAGCACACTGAGCCCAAGTCGTTCTTATCGGTTCTTGAAAGCCTAAGGTTTCCCCGGGTTATCCCATACCCTTGAACAGTGACCTGCTTCTCTTCCTAAATCAAACTGGCCTTGCCCTAGACTGTCAGTTGGTGAAGCCATGCTAATGCCCTAGCAGTGATCACCCCGATAAGAAAATTAATAGCCACCCCCTTCCAGGTGTTGCCAAGGTGGTCGGGTCATGAAAGCTCTCAGCATGCTTTCTTTACCAACCTACTGAAAAGGATTTCCCTTAGACACAGGAGCAGATTGCCAGGATGGAGACCTCAGGTGCACAGGCCAAGCATATGAGTTCCAACTCCTTTTCTTTTAGGAATATAGAAAATGAAAGTTTGGGAGAGGATCAAGAATTCAACCCAGCCAGAGTCATGTAGACGTAAAGAGCACAGTCCCAGCCCTCCCGCTGGTAATCCGTGGTCTTTGCAATGAGAGATTATTTTAAGAGACAGATTCACAACCTTAGAGCCCCCAGTATGGATTTTTGTTGGCAAATTACTAATCGCACAACTTTGCTCGAAGGACTTTTAATAATGACTAGTTTGAGAGTTGAGAAGGGAAAGTCAGGTAATATTATATAGGACGTTGAGATGTCCCAATTTCAATGGCTGTGGCTCATCTCTCCTCCAGAAAAAAAAGAGTTTTTGTTGTAAATCATAAACCGCTATAAAAACAGATTAAAAATCGGTTTTGAAATTACTATTGTAATTCTCCCTTGAAAACCTAGGCTCTGTCAAATGCTGTGCTTTGTTTTATTTGTGTCCAAGTAGATGTCTCTCTCCCTCCTTCTCTCCTTATTTTTCATTACTATTATTTGCTTCATTGGAATGTTTATTTTGGAACGAGATATTTAATTACATACTTCTCTATACCTCTTTCTATTGGAGGGTGGGACGAAATAAACAACATATAGTCTTAAAAAATATCTAGTTAGCAATCCTACTTGAGAACTGAGTTACATTTTTCATATATAGAACATATGCCTGTGAGTCACTGGCATGTGCTTTTTATAATTAAAAGGTAATGCAGACAGCCCGATGGTCTTAGATGGATGCAAATTACCAAAATGGTGTAAATGAGGGGCTGAAAGTCCAGTGACTGTTAATAGCAGTTTTTTTATTTAAATTGACATGTTAAGTTACTTTTCAAATGTGACCTATTCCTAGAATTTTTTTAAAAATATATAAACAGCAGTTTTATTTGCATTAAACATTTCTAGGAGCTCTTTCTAGGGGTTTCAGTTAAAACTGGGGGAAAGAATGACACGGCAGCAGACATGGCAGCTTGGCTAATACACGTCCTGTGGTTACGCAGGCCGTGTGCCTCTGGTCTTCCTCTGAGTGTCTCTGCTGATGGAACCTAGCTCTGGCCTTTCTTTGGCTTTTGTTTGAACCTGCATTCTTGTTGGGAAGGTAGTGCGATACAGATCACAGAAAAATGGACTGAACTGTAGGCCCCAGGCTTGCCCGCTTGACGAGATGGTTTGTTTTCTCTTCCTGCCTTCCTCCTGGAACCTGATCACCTCTGTGATCCACAGACCGACAGTGAGCGCACGGACACCGCGGCTGATGGGGAAACCACCGCCACTGAGGTTGGTACAGTCTCTGTGGGGTGCCGCCCGTTGCCTAACAGAAATGCTGGTTCTGCCTTTAGGAACTTTGCATATTGCCTTTGAGGGTGGAGAGAGATTCTACTTTTAACAGTAGGAGTTAAATATATTCTACTGCCTAGACCAGTGGTTCTCAAACTCTGGCCTGCATCAGAGTCATCTGGCGGTTCCCATCCTCCTGTTTCACATTCAGAAGAAGGTCTGGGGTAGGACTGGAGAATTTGCATTTCTAACAAGTTCCCAGGTGACAGTGACTCTATCCATTTCAGGGTCACATTTTGAGAACCCTTGGCTAAATTGGTAATACTTTTTAAAAAATTTTTATTGGAGTAGAGTTGATTTACAATCTTGTGTTAGCTTCAGGTGTACAGCAAAGTGAACCAGTTATACATACACATAGATCCACTCTTTTTTAGATTCTTTTCCCATATAGGTTATTACAGAGTATTGAGTGGAGTTCCCTCTGCTATACAGTAGGTCCTTATTAGTTATCTATTTTATATGCAGTAGTCTGTATATTTTTTTAAAAATGTATTCCCTTATCCCAAATGTTTACGCATGATAGCCATAATTGGGGGTGGGTGGTACAATTTATGTAATTAGCTTATTGACTAGGTACAGATATACTTTAAAATCCCAAATGGTCAAAATGCTTGTTAAGATTATACTACTTAACTCATTTTTCATAGCCTGGATGTAGTCTGGGTCACTCAAAAGAAATGAATTTTCCAAGGAAAAGAAAATGAACAAATTACTGTCAGTACTTTATTGGAAAAAAAATGATCACATTGACCAGTGATACTATGCTCTTATTTATCCTTTGTTAATTCTTTAGTGTTCGTTAAATATGTGTATGGCTTACGTCGTTTTCTAAATCTTCTCTACCAGTAACTAATTAAAATTTCTGTAAAAACAATATTTATCTATAGTAATGGAAGTCAAGATGTTCATTTCCTAAAGTGCTAATAACAGAATTTTTTTTTTACTTTGTGATAGTGTTTAACATTAGGTTGTTTTCTCCATTATCCAGTCGTAACAATATTTTCTAGTTGGGTATTTAGGAAGAACTAAAAATGTTATAGGTAGTATCTATACATCACTTCACTGAAAATATGTTCAGAAAAACATTTCCAAATGGAGTTTAATTGTTTCTTCCTTTGGAAATGCCAGAGTTCAGTTCAAAGTTTGGAAGCCATCATGTTTTAATTTAGAGATAATACTGTAAAACTATCATACTGGTTCTTTTAAGCAATCACATATAAACCGATTACAGGGTAATCATTTTCTACACCAAATATAACAGTTGCATCTTCGTTTTGTAAGAATTAGTTATATGTAACTGCCGATACATTCAGTAAATTTCACTGTAATCCTAAGGTGTGCTGTAAATGAAAAACATTTTAATACTACTACTTTAAATTTCTCTTAATTCGTCCCAGCCTCTCCTCCCCTCCCCCTCCCTGTGTCCACAAGTCCATTCTCTACGTCTCTATTCCTGCCCTGCCACTAGGTTCATCAGTACCATTTTTCTAGATTCCATCTGTATGCGTTAATATACGGTATTGGAGGGAGTAGCATTAACATATATACACTACCATGTGTAAACTAGGTAGCTAATGGGAAGCTGCTACATAGCACAGGGAGATCAGCTTTGTGCTTTGTGCTCTGTGACGACCTAGAGGGATGGGATGGGGCGGGGGGGGGGGGGGGAGGGGGAGGCTCAAGAGGGAGGGTATATACGTACACATATAGCTGATTCACTTTGTTGTACGGCAAAAGCTAACACAGCATTGTAAAGCAATTATACTCCAATAAAGATGTTAAAAACAAATGACTCAGCTATGAGAAAATAAAATACTATAAATTTCTCTAGCAGTTTTAAACTTTGTTATACAACATTTGAAGCATGCAAACGAAGACGTATAACATAGGTAGGTTATGAAGCTTAAAAATAAAATGAAGGGCTATGAACCCACCACCTCTGTAGAATCAGCATGCCTCCAGCCCTCTAACGCTTCTTATAAACGCTCCCCCTTCTCTTTTTTCCGGAGCCAGTGTAACAGCAGTGCGGGGTGGGGCGTGTAGGTTAGAGAGTCTGGTCCCCATTGAGACCCAGACAAAGTGATCCATTTGCTGAAGGCCATGTGCTCTGGAATCACCCACTTGTCACCCATAATTTCACTCTGGACCGCGTCTTATAGTTGATTTTTGTAGTTGATGGTAGTCTATGTAATTTCCTCACTTACCCCATCCGTATCAGCCCTCTCCTCTCCCAAATTTGTTTTTAAGTAGGTGGGTTCAAGAAATTCAAAGATCCAAGAAATTTTTTAATGTGGGAACCTCTGTGTTAAGTTCTTTGTGCCTCAGTTCTCTGGCCTCTGTGTTAAGTTCTTTGTGCCTCAGTTCTCTGGTCTACAAACTGGGGATCATAATAGCTAACCTCATAGGATTATTGTGAGGGCTCCTACACTCCAAGGGAGCTCTCATCATTGGATATTCATAGCCGTTTTTGTGAATTTTAATTTCGATGTTGGCTTCCCCCACTTCCTGAACCGCCGCTAACGTCTTTTAAGGACAGCCCGCCAAGTCCTAGCTGTCCTCCCAAGTCCTCCCAAGCACACGTGTGGACTCATCGTGCTTGGAAGTGTCCAGGTTAAAATGTCAAACACCCAAGGGGCAAGGAATCTTTTGCTCCTGTCTTCTTATTAAGGTTCACAATTTGTGTGTGAGAACGTTATGGTTTATATATAAGAAAGAAATGTCTTCTCACATAAGAGCAAACTAGTGCCCCCATGTAGCTGGCTTATGTAGACCCATCCTTCCATCTTAGAGTCGATGGCATGGTAAGACTTTATTTCCCACTCTCTCTTGATGCTGGCAGTCGGACCAGGAGGAAGATGCAGAGCTCAAGGCACAGGTAGAAAATTCAAAATCAAACACAAAAGCAGAAACCAGCGTGTGATAAGTCATTGTCTGTGGTGTTCAGATCTTGCAGCATGCTCCGTGGTGGTGACTGTGTGCTGGTGCAGTGTGGAGGATGACACTTGTTCATGTGACTATCATGTCCCTTACCTTCCTTTCTTCTCCACTTTTTTCAGAATAGTCTGATTAAGCGAATAAAGGGTGAAAATGTGTATGTCAAACATAGTAATCTTATGTTAGAGGTTGGTATTGGTATATACCAGTGCATGCTTGTGTGTGTTGGTTTTCCTTTAGTGGCTTAACCTGTGGGCTCGTACCATGATGCATGAAGGGTGTGTTCTCACCTGTGAATACGTGCGGTTGACTTCTCAGCTTCCTCTGATTCCTTCCTCTCTCCTAGACGTAGATCCCCTTTCCTCCGTGTGTATTTATTTTAATTCTCTGGTTACATGTGAATTACACTCTTAACAGTTGACCTTTGAAACTTTTGATTTTTATGCTTGCGTGAACTAGATTTTGTTTTCCCTCGGAAATATCACATTTTCACCAGAGTGTTTGTGGTAGTGTCATGAGCCCTGATCAGAATTCTTTTATTTTGACTACTAATGAGATAATGACCTAACTTTTAAAACGAGAGAGAGCACGCAGAAAGGAAGACAAACGTAAAATGTTGACTGTTGGATTCTTTATGTTCTGAATATAGGAGCTAGATAAAACCCAAGATGACCTGATGAAACATCAGACCAATATTAGTGAGCTGAAAAGAACCTTTTTAGAAACCTCCACAGACACTGCCATCACGAACGAATGGGAAAAGAGGCTTTCCACCTCCCCCGTGCGACTAGCCGCCCGGCAGGAGGAGGCACCCATGATCGAGCCGCTGGTACCTGAAGAGGTCGGTATTCAGGCTTTGGGTTGCACTTGTCTTCTGTTCACTAGCCTCGCTCCTCTGCAGGGTCTGCAGGGAAAGGATGTGGCAGGCAGAATTCTGAGTAGAGAATCCCACCCCTTGTCTGTGTATAGCCAGTACAATGTTAGGTGGCCAAGGAGTGAGTAATCGCATCCCGTGGTGCTTTGGAACGAACAAGGAAACTCTGGTTCAGATCTGCTTATTCTAGATTCACAGCTGGGAGACATTGACCTACTGTATTAATGAACCAACAGTTTTTCTGAATGTACTTCCGCTACTTTAAGAAATGCCTTGAAAATTCATGACTGTTTCTCGTCAGTTGCAAGATGAGCATGCCTATTGAGATTGTCTAATGTTTGACTAAACAGTGTTCTGAAGTTGATAACATTTCAGGGCATACTTTACTCTGGGACTACTACACCAGGTTTTTACGGGTATACTCAGTTTTTTATTTCATTTTTATTTATAGCATATATATATATTTTTTTAAATTGGTTATTTTAACTGATTTATATATATAAACATATATATTATATTATGACTTATAATCAGTTTTTATTTGGTTTTTAATAGGGAAAGTAAAGGCCAGAATGTCTTTTTGAGCAAGTCTTCCATGTAGGAAATCGCTCTTTAAATGTACAGTAAGATAGAGGATTCAGCTGGTGTTACTTCAAGGCTCCCATCGTGTGGGACCCACAGTGGCAGTGGTACTAATCTTACTGTCAACTGTTACACATCATCTTACTTTATCTGTCTTTCAAAAGAAGTAGTTTTTTAAAACGGCATCTTTCTAGTATAATATTAACTCCTTTCTTCCCTTGAAAGCTGTTTATCTAAAGTGACCACAATCATGATGTTCATGACAGTTCCAATCCCACTTAAAAAAAAATGACAAGGTCTATCACCATTTGAATTACTTTGTAAAGGGCCTTTTTATGCAGAATAAATGAAAAGTCCTGTGACCAGAGTATTCCTGTACCATTAAACATCGGTTTCATTCAGATTGTTTGAGTTTCAAGACACAAAAATTTCAGATTTTCCTGATTGATTTAAATAGTGTAGTTCCTGCATTAGTAAGACTGCCACTTATGAGTTATGGTCAGATAAGTTTTATTGTAACTGGTCAAGTTTGGTTTACCCTATTTCTACGAGGGCTGGAAATAAGGAAGGACGTGCTGGCTCTGAAGATGGCAGATACTGGATTACGTTACAAAAACACAAAATAAATAGCCACTGAAAAAGTCAGGCCCCTCCTCCCCTGCTGTCACTCAGGGACACGCGAGGTAGCAGCCCTTTGAATGGAAGTTCGGGTAGTTGCTTGGAGAAGTTAAAGGTGGTGATAATAAACAAGGGACTGTCGAAGTCTAGGTCATTAGGCTAGTAAAAGAAATTTTTTTCACTTATTAAACCCTCGAATTCTTAGAGAATAACGGTGATGACCCCAAAGAATGTTAATAACTTAAGAGGTGATGCTTTGAATACGCTGAACTTACCCTCGATGTGGATGCCTTATCCCTGTTGGTGCAGAGAGACTGCAGTAGACCTAAGAAAGGATTGTTTTAAAAGGATTAGAGGATGGAGGAAAGATGTCCTCTGCAGAAGCACAAAGTGGTTTGGTTGCGCAGACTGGAGACCAGCAGCTGGCTTAGTAACTGCTTTCAAGTGTCTGCTGAGTGGTGAGCAGAAGCTGTACCTTAGGACTCCACTGCCACCGGCAAGGGAGGAAATTGTTGGGAGACTTGCTAGATGTAAAGAAGAGTTTCTTAAAAACAAGGCTGGCTAATAACCCTGGTTATCAAAGGGGCTCTGAAAAAGCAGCTCCAAGGAGCTTCAAGTCCCAGAGGAAGAGAGGTCCCTTCTGGGAGGTCAGGGCTATGTGCGCTTCCCTCGCCTTGGGGCTCCCATCTGACCCTTCTCCCGGAGCCCTTGGTGACACCCAGTTTATCCTCCATTTGAGGGCCCTGGAGACAGCCCGGCACGTTCTTAATGCTCCAAATTCTTGTTCATTTCTATATTAAAACTTAATATTGGCTTTTGTTATTGGTTTTGTGAAAAGCACAAAAGATAATTTTATCCTCCCAGCCAGCTAGGCATAATACACAAAGCATATTTGTTTAAAAACACCTAAACAAAAGATTTTCATTTTAGAGGGGAGGTGTTTTTCTAAGTAAATTACTCATTTGATGTTATCCTTTTATTTAATATGACCCACTTTAAATTAATTAAACAATAATTGGCCAGTTTAGAAAGAGGTCCAATTATTTCTAAAAGAAAATATGTAACTTAATTTTTTAAAGTGACTTCTCAAAGTAATATTGCTTGTGTCAGAAGGGTAAAGAAACTGATTCAGTGAGGCCACACTTAGTTGGATTTTGGGGGAAATCTCAGTGATACAATGTTGTTTTGAAAAAAATGTGATGACTCCTGATTTTTAAAGAAGATGTTGGGGGTAGGAGTTTATTAATTTATTTATTTATTTTTGCTGTGTTGCGTCTTCGTTTCTGTGCGAGGGCTTTCTCTAGTTGTGGCAAGCGGGGGCCACTCTAAATCGCGGTGCGCGGGCCTCTCACTGTCACGGCCTAAAAAAAAAAAAATTGCTCAAGGCGCACCTTCCCAGGTAAGGTGAACAGGCAACAGCCTGTTTAGTGCCACATTTTTGCTTTTTTGTGTTTTTTATTGGTGATTTTGCTCTTTAAAATGACCTCCAGCCATAGTGCTGAAGTGCTGCCTAGTGTTCCCAAGTACAGGAAGGCTGAGATGTGCCTTACAGGAAAATATGTGTGTCATGTACGCTTTGTTCAGGATAAGTTATAGTGCTGCTGGCTGTGAGTTTGACGTTAATGGATCAATAATAGATATTAAATAAGGGGTCTTTAAACAGAAACACACATAAAACAAGGTTATGCATTGATCAGTTGACGAAAATTTCATGACCAGAAGCTCCCAGGAACCTGACCCTGTCTTTCCCATAGGAGCTATGGTTCAGCACTCAGTAATGTGTTCACAGCAACTTTATAGAACACACCTGCCATGGATAACTAGCATCAACTCTCTTTACGCATTTTTCTGCTTTCTTGTCCAGCTTTACTTTTGCTATTCAGGTCTTGGATGGGCCTTACATTGGACAAAATATGCATTCACTATGGATCATCTATTCATGGATAGAGAGAATTATCTCCACTCTGTGAATCTGACTTCTGTGACTTTCCATTCAGACCCTGGGGTGCAACTCTAGATGCGTATTACAGTCACCTACAAGATTTTTAAAATACCCATGCCTGGGTTCTACATCAGAATCTGATTTAATTAGTCAGAGGTGCACCCCACACATTACTCTTATTTAAAAGCTCTCCACATAATTCTAATTCACAGCCCAATTTGAGAACCCCTGGCCCGAGCAGAAATGAAAGTCACAGCTCCATGGAGACCCTTAATCACCTGAGCAAGTAACACCTCTGTGAATTTTGCATGCCACTGTAGGGCCTTGTGTCCCAATTATGACACAGGCATGAACGTTTAAGGAACTAAATGAAATAGTCAGGGTGTGCATCTGACTCTGTCTTAACCCCTAGTAAATGTTTCGATCATCAGCTTTTCTTTATCAGTACCTCTTAACTTTAGCAGAACTCACTGGATTGGGGTTGACAGTATACAGGATTTAATGATAACATCTATCCCCTTATGTTACCCTTTTCCGTTATTATGGGACATGCACAGTTCTGGGTGCAGACAGTGTGGACATTTTTACTTACAGACACAGACGTTTTTAAAATTACTTGATGTCAGATAACAGGATATGCTGAAAACCACTGCTGTTGTTTTTTTAAGCTCTCATTGTAGGAAAATATGTAGTTCAGTGATTATAATTAGAGGCCTAGCCGTGGTATTCTGAAAAGTGTCTATAATTTTGACTTCCTGTTTCTTATTTCTGTTTAAAAAAGAGGCTATGATTGAAAGTTTAAAAAATAAATCCACATTGAATGATTCCACATGGTACATTTTGTCTCTTGCAATATCTTTCTCCAAAATGGGACAGGACAGGGATTTTTTTTTTTCCCCCTTTGAAATGTCTTATTTGTTCCTCATTTAAAAGGAGCATATGAGGACGATGCTATCAAAATCTGTCAGCAGGTCATTCCAGATAACATTCCAGATGCTCCTCTACAACCTCTTGCAGGCAAACGATTAAAGATAGCACTGATAGCTTTGTAGATACATACCTAGGAATTTTAAATACCTCTCATAAAATTATATTGCTTATCATCAACAAGAGGGTTTATTTTCAAAGTTCCATTCGTCTAGAAACTTTGAACTTTTCTATTATTATTCTTAGATGACTTTACCAAAATATCCTTTTGTTCACTATTCTATGCGGTCGTGTGCTGTACACAGAGACAGGCTCGGTAGCTAACGTATTGCCCCTTGAATTATGCCTATTTGATACTAAAGGAAGCAATAAAAAGATGAAAGGAAAAAAACTGTTCTAACATAACATACTTAATGTCCTTTTAAATTTTATATGTTAAAGACAAGTATGACTTCAAATACTTAATTCTTCACCAAGATATTCTGAAGTTGACTTTTCAGGATTATTTGCCATGTTATAAAAGTTCAAATAAAGCTATAACCTTATGTTTATTTGTGGAATAAAGCCATCAATCTAGGCATAACTGGGTTTTTCAGATTAGTAGCTAATGCAGTGACCCATGTGTATTTCCTTTCTCTGTCTCAGGCGGCACTTCAGTGGGGAATATGATCAAGAATTTGTCAGACGTGGAAGTGAGAATTTATTCCTAACTTAACTTTTTTTAAATCTTAACATTTTCATTTTAATACTCACTTTGACAGTATTGCAGATCACTGACATATGAACACTTACTGAAATGCCAGAAAGCTCTTTATGCCACTCTTGCATATTCTGTGTTTGTAGAAATGAGAAATGTTTGAATCCTAAAAACACCAGAGATTCAAAACATAGTCTGTTACTCTTTGGAAATAATTGTTAAATGTTGAGATGGCTTCAGACCGTTTTCCAAATTAATAGGCACTAATTTACTTCTTCAGGAAAAAAAATGAATGAGTATTATATGTGTAGCACAAGAAAAGAACTCTCTTCCTAACTTGGCTTTTTGGAAACTGTCTGCTTCCTCTTCTCCAACCCAACCCCCTTTATTCAAACAGACCAAAGAAGAAAGAGAGATTTCTGAAAAGGTTCTGTTTTTGCAGCAAGGAAGCTCTCCATTCTTTGAGTCTCAGGTAAAAAACAAGCATTAAGGAATTTTCCAGAAGGAAATTGCTCTTCAGATTTCAGTGTCATTAAAATGTCTGTAGTTTTTCCTTTCTTTTTAAAATTTACCTTGTTTGCCCCTAAGGTAGGTATATCATTTTTGCTTAGATTCTGGGGAGGGAAGTAGGGAATTTTGTTACTAATTTAGTTATCCGTTAGCTATCATTTCTTTGTGGCTTTTGCTCCTAGGTGATTATATCTGTGTGTGGTCATTGAAACATTATGATTATACTTTGTAATGATATTACTGGACCTTTTAGTACCTCTTTCACCCATAGAGTGATGCTAATTTAGATGACCTTGACTGATTTTGAAAGTTCTGAACTTTTATTGGTTTTCCCACTAGCCGAGTGTGATAAAGAGAATTCAGGAAGGAGGCTCTGTGGTTACCTCTCGTCAAATCATTTTCCAGAAAACTGTCCCATCCACCCTAGAGGTTATTTTTCAATTCATTTTGTTTAATCCGGCACCAGCCTATAGATGGATCTGTAATCCTTTTTCTTAAGGCCCACCTGTTTCTAGATTCAGGCTAGGATAAGTACGAAAGTAGCAAACGTCCAAGTTTAAAATGTAAACCAAGGTGCTCCCTTGCTCCTGGCTTGGTTTCCCTTCCCTCTGTAACCTGTTAGACTAGTTACCTGCTAACGTCCCGGTAGGCTCCCCAAATACAGAAGTTTCATAACTTGCATTTCTTCTGCCTTATTGGAACTAACACTAAGGAAACTGGCAAAGAAACTCCTGAGACGATGAACTTCGGTTGTAAATAAAATCGGAACAGTGTACAGACCACTGTGACCTATTTCTAAGGGGCTCCGACAGTGTCCTAACAGTGGGAAATAGTTCATTACAATGCCTGGAACACAGGTGCACTGAATACTTATTGGATAATAAGTGCTAGAGTGGATTCCGTCTCCCATATAAGGAAGTATAATTCACAAACATGGAAAATGGTTTTCACGGAAATTTGTGGAAATGCTGGCACGTTCTTTGTGAGAACAACAGATATGAAGTACGGTGTTCTATTTCACATGGAAAACTGTCTTTTCTATGTCCACGCAAGTAAAGCTAAATAACTTGTACAACAACTTCAAAAATGTTGTTTAATCTTGACATACAAAATGATCAGACATTTAGCGTAAGATCAAATATAGTCTTTGCAAAATTTACCACCAAAGTATTTCAAGAAATCTGAAATTGCGAGTGTACACGCAGACCGTATTCCAAGTTGCAGGTTAGAGTTAATAAATTTCAGATGGGAAGAGACTGCAGCCATAATTAATAAAAATAACCCCAGCCCTGTGCAGCCACCTCCCAGGCCTGAGTGTAGCTCTCACCCTGATTGCCTTAAAGGATTCTTATTTTAGAAATGAGATACCATCAGAACTTCTAATTTAGCTTTTATATTCCAAATATAGGGCACAGAGGACTGGGTTATTGTAGACAAAATACCCACTGAGGTAGTTGATGGTGATTCGAAAAAGATTGTGACGTACAAGGTGGTGACCGTGAGCACTAGAACTGATGACATCCCCGCCGACTCGTTAGGATCTAGCGCCACTGAAGTGCAGAGCTTTGAAGACTTGGCCCGAGAAATGCACTTGAAGGAAGAGAACAAACAGAAAATATACACACTCGGAAAGTCCTACGATACCGTGTCTGGAAAAATTGTCACTATGACAGGAAAAGTCAAAGAAGGGGAGAAGGTGGTGTCCCCCTCCCCTCTTGAGCCAGGGCTGGCCGAGCCCATGAAGAGCCCCCGTGTCCTGGCAGAGTTCGAGGTCCTGGGAGTCCTCACCGAGGACAGGACCAGGAGGGGGCCTGAGGTCCACACTCCAAAGCGGAGGCTGTCGGAGTCGCTGGCCCCCATCAGGGAAGCCGAGTCCCGGCTGCAGAGCCCCGAGGATGATGCTCTTGAGAAAAGCCACGTGCCCGGGAGGGATGCCAGTCTGGAGGGCGAGCGGCTGGGCAGAGCGGAGCCCGAGGCCGAGGCCGAGACCTTGAAGGTGGGGCCCTTCAGTCCCCGCAGGAAGAGCCTGTCCAAGTGGAGATACTCCCAGGAACCGGCCATCACCGTCGCCACCACCCAATACGTTGTCACAGAGTCGGCCACGTCCCAAGTCGTGGTAACTGGTGCTGCCTTTGGGCCGCCGTTTCCGATTCCAGCATGACGTTTGCCAAGGCAGCCCTTCCACCCCGAGCCTTTCCATTTCTCTTGCTGTTTGGCTTATGTTGAGAGCCGCCAACCCAAGCTTTTTTGTTGTTTTCATGGTTAAGTCACTACCGCGGTCTGACGTGAGCATTGAGATACCTGCCGTTTTATTTCCAGCTCTTGTCCCCGAGGTGGGGTGGTGCTGCCGGGGCTTGAGGTGCCGGTGCCGGGTGAAAGGATCCGCTTCACCCAGCACCGCCCTAACCCCAGGAACTCTCTCCGCTTTACCAAACCAGAGCCCCTGCTCACCCCGATTTGCTGTTGATTTCCCATCCCTATGTGTTTCCAAATCTGTCTGTAGATCCCTCCATCCCTCGCCCTGGGTCCCGTGCCTACAGTTCTGTCTAACCAGCTGTGAATGAGTACCTGCCCTCCTGTGTCCCGACCTCTGTGCTTGACTCTCCATTTCTCTGTTCACTCAGACTAAACAGTCTTCTGGAGAAAAGCTCATGGATGGCTCTGAAATCTTCAGCTTATTAGAGTCTGCGAGAAAGCCGACAGAATTCATAGGAGGGGTTACTTCCACTTCTCAAAGCTGGGTGCAGGTGGCCATCTGTTTCCATCCTCGGTGTCTCTGTCTCTGCCTCTTTGCCTTTTCTTTGTGCCTTTTCGGGGTGTGTGTGTGTTGCATCCAAGTGGCTTTGCTTTAAACACCTGAGAGGGGTCTTCACTTACACCCCTCTGTGCCTGTCCCACGTTTGCATCACATGTCTTTAGTTCCATTACAAGAACACACTTCAGATGTTCAGAAAGCAATCGTGCTGAGACGTTTTAACAGCATTTAATTTCTTAAAGCATTTTATGTCACCTGTTAGGTCTAAGGAAGCAGCCCAAACCAATATGCATGTGCTCCAATGCTTTCATTTTGTTTTGGTTTTTTAATTGCGTTTTATACTGCACTCTTGTTTCTTTTGCAACATCCGAAGAAGCAGCACAGGTTCGAGGCTATGTGTCAGGCAGAGGGCAGGCATCAAAGACTCTGGTGGGGGGAATGAAAGCTAATTTATATTTTCTCTAAGCGTTGCTGGTTATAAGCACTGGTACTGGCTTTAGGTACCCTGGTGAGTGGCTGCTTTTGTTGTTTTTTTTTTTTTTTTTTTTGCTTTCTGATCTTTGCTTTGTGGAAAGTCACACTGACACCACAATTTTTTTTCCATGCAGAAAATGGAAACCAAGACGGAGTCTGGCAAAATGGAGACGGAAACAACCCAGCACCCCCAGCCACTTAGCACCCAGAAGGTTGTGCAGGAAACGGCATTGGTGGAGGAAAGACATGTGATGAATGTGCATACGAGTGGGGATGCTTCTTACGCAGCTGGAGATGACATGGATGCTGTGACCCAGGCAGCATCTGCTGATGTATCTGATGTGAAAGGGAAGGAGGTCTCTGCTCTGACTGAGGGAGCGAAGGAGGAAAAAGGGGAGGTGGCCGACAAAGCTGTCCTCGAGCAGGGAGAGATGGCAGCTGCTTCCCAAGAGCCAGAGGAGGAGCAGAGTGCAGCCATCCACGTTTCTGAAGCTTCGGAACAAAAACCTCATTTTGAGGTAACTAGCGGTTAATGTTACTTTTAGTGCTGAAGTAAGTCCCTGAAACTTAGTTAAGCATAAAGGCAGGGCTAGGTTTAATTTTCTTCCTTTTCCAAGAGCAGTTTGTTTCTCCTCTTGTTGCCTTCTTGCATGGCAATTATGGGGTCTCCATGCTGGCCTGGGGTCCCATGCAAACATATATAATGATTATTCACAATCTAAAGTTCCAGGAAATGGTTTCCACTCTCTTTGCAATTACCGTAACTGGCCATAAACCTGGGAGATGCATAGCCTGCCAAGATATTAGAAAACTTGATAAATTTATTTCTGATCAGTGTACTTATCCAAAAGAACCAAAACCAGGCTTGCCCAGGCACCAAGTGCTAGAATTTATTCTTTATTCTCTTTTATTGAAATTCCTGAAGTACATGGGGGCGGGGTGAGGGGTGGTGGTTCAATGTCTTATTACTTGTTCCTTCTGTCTAAGAAGTTTTTCAATAAAAGGCTAATTTATGATTTTTTAATCTATTAAAATTAGTTTATGAGATAGAGGAGAGGGAATGTAAAAAAGTGGGGTTTTTTCAATTTCCTTCGAAATATTTTCTTGTACCCGGAACATTCCGTATGAATTCTGGGAGACTGACATGTATCTGTTGTGTGCCTCATTCCCCAACTGCCCCCCATGTAAAATGTAAACATTTATTTCATACCAACCTGTGCTTAATCTATATCCACCAAGAGGGGAGGGAAAAAAACAAAGGTATGTGTTTGCAAAATTTAATAGCCACTCTGCCTGCTTCCCATTGGTATAGCCATCTACTGTGAAGACAGAAACCATCAGCTTTGACAGTGTTTCACCAGGAGGAGTAAAGCTAGAAATTTCTACCAAGGAAGTGCCTGTAGTTCACACAGAAACAAAAACCATAACATATGAATCATCACAGGTAAGACAGTCTATGAAGGCCAGAGCCCTGGCACCTGTTTTACCCCTTGAATGGCTTCATGCATTTAAGTGTCACTACATGATATTTAATTTGTGAGACTCAGAGGACCCAACTGTCTCTATCAAGAATGGCGCAGTAATTGTAATTTTATTACCGCTCAAGGAAGAGCAGGTGACTTAAGCAGGCCTTCACGTAACTTGAAATGGAGAAAGAGGCTCAGAAATCTATCTCCCTAGCCATAGATAAGGAAGAACACTACTAGCTCAACCAGCCCCTGCTCACATTTCTGAAGTCCCAACTTTTTAATGAGGGTTAACAATGGCCAAGTTTGATTCAGTCCATAGTCTGTGGCAGCTCCCAGATGCTGATGGAACAGCACAGTGATTGTGCAGATAATTAACTCATCGTCATGCCCTAAGCCAAGATAGCAGACGTCTGGAGAGGTGACATCAATATTCAAGTGTGGCGTCTCCCCCTTTGCTTGCTTAGGTTGATCTTGGTGCTGATTTGGAGCCAGGTGTGCTCATGAGCGCACAGACGATCACATCTGAAACCACTAGCACCACGACCACCACCCACATCACCAAAGTAAGTGGAGTGGGAACGGATACAGGAAGGTATCCGTTCAGAGCTTCTGGGTTGGGCCGCACCAGCAGATAGGTGAATGCCAGGATGCCAGGCAGCTGCATTGGAGCTCTCACGGCTGCTGTATTTGTGGTGCATCTGTCCTCACATGCCAGGTTCCGTTTAAGAATATGCATTCTGATGCCCTTTGCATAACCCTTAACTCCAGTGCATAGCATATGGTAGATGTCCCAGAAACACCAGCCAGCCAAAACCCGAAGGACTCTATTCTGGCTTCACTTCTGAAATGAACCGTTGTGAATAACTGCCATAGGATTCTGTTTCAATTCTTAAAGAATGAATGATGCAGCTTAAAGCTGTGTCAGCATTTTCCGCCGTTTCCCCCGGTCAACAGTGACGGTAAATTCATAATGCTTATGTGTTGCTTTCAGACTGTGAAAGGAGGCATTTCAGAGACGAGAATCGAGAAGCGAATCGTCATCACGGGAGACGCGGACATTGACCATGACCAGGTAGCGTGTGAGAGAGGGTAGATACCCCGGCAGGGAGGCAGAGAAACACTAGCTGGTCGTACTCTTCCCAGAGCTGTGCTTCTAGTCCAGCCTGTAGTCTAAACAGTTTTCTGAATTAACTTTGCAGTATGCAGCGTATGACCCCCTTTGCAGTCATTGTATCCCATTTGTAAATTGTGTATATAGATCTTGCTCACGAGTCTCCACCTGGCTCTGATCTTGCACGTCCCGCCTCCTTTTTGTCTTTGCCTTTCTGTGATTTCCTGGGGATAGGCACTGGCTCAGGCAATTAAAGAGGCCAAAGAGCAGCACCCTGACATGTCAGTGACCAAAGTAGTGGTCCATAAAGAGACCGAGATCACCCCTGAAGATGGAGAGGATTGAGCCCAGGTAAGAGGTGGCGCTGGTTCTCTAGGCTTGGCCTCGGCTGGCATGTGGCCCAGGGCTTCCCTCTCTCCCTCCCCCTGCCTCTTCCCTCTCCTTTTTCTCTCACTGGCGTTTGCAGGGCTCTGGGTATCAAGAGGATGGAAAATTGGTTTGCGGCTGCTGCTTTGTTTCATATTTGGAGGCTCCATACTGTGGACTTTTTACCTCCCCCTGCCAGTTAGAGGATAAAGAGAAAGCAGAGTCCGCTTGCCTGGTCCTGCGCATGTTCCCTCTTAATGCATGCTCTGTGCTCCTCCCGTTATCCACATTTGAAAGGTCGGATCTGGTTTCACTTGCCACGTAGCCTAATCAGAGCTAAGACGGTTTTGTTCTGAGAGGTGCAATCTGTGTGTTCCAAATACTAGGGAAATAAAATATAGCCTGTTCTCCTTCTGTTGGCTGCATTATCCCATTGTAAGCTTTCTCTTCCACCGTGTTTGGTGCTAGCCTGTTTATGTTTCTGTTTTTGCTTTGTTTTACAATTTGAGACCAGAGCACTCATTCTCATTGTGGATGTCATCTATTTCCTGTATTCTTTGGGATGATTTTTTTCCCGAGTGTAGTATCGTGTCTCAGGAGGAAGCAAAAATGCAGTCTTGTGGTCCTGCTTTCCTCCAGAAAGCGCGTGCCTTTCCAGCCACTGTTTGGCCGACATCATGAGCAGACAGCATCTTCTGTGTGTGCACAGACTTGTCATGCATACTAACCCGCCCCTCGAGAACTCGAGGGGCCCTGAGCATCCCTGGAAGGCTTTGAATGCTGAATGCAGCTCCTTGCACACTTGGTTATGTGATAAAAGTCTCTTAAATGCTTTACATGTATAAATGAGATAAGTACGTTCTCTAACGTTGGTTAATGTTGATTGATGAGTGGCTTCTCTCAAAGGGAAAAAATATAAACATCACTCATTATATTCAAATTAAGAAGGTAATTTGGAAGATAGAAAGCAAAAAAAAAAAAAAAAACCAAAAGAAGGTTCTCTTCAGCGAGTTGAGCCACTTGGGTGACGATGTGGTTATTTCAGAGAAAGCCTGTCAGTGGCGTACACTGGTATTTTACAGTATCTTGTCAAAAAGAGCATTTCATAACCGTACAAGATACTTCTCCCATGACCTCGATCTGAGGGAAACTCTCAGGTGTTTTCAGACGAGTAACTGATCAAATCTCTCTTCTGCAGGAATAACCTAGGCTGCACCTGAAGCCAGTCATGCAAACCATTAGAAAACCCAGAGTCTATGTGGAGTTTCCTCTTCTAACCCACTGATTTGCATCTGCCCATGGACAATTTCAATCCAGAAGAACTGACCTTGACCATTTAATAAAGACACTGGCAGAGACCTTCCCGTAATAAAGCAATCTGAGTCAGCCTCACTAAACTGACATTGCATGAAGCAACGATACAATTACAAAACAAGCAGCATTTTTACGTTTCACACAGCGTCTGAG